TATATAAAAATTAAAAATTAAATTAAATAATTTTATTATTTTTATTAATTATAATAATAAATAAATTATTAAGTTAATAAATAAAAATATTAAAATTTTTAAAATTAAATTAAAATATATAAATATATATAATTATTAATTATAATAAAAGGTTAAAAAAAAATATATTAACGTTAATTATATTAAATTTAAAAATATAATAATTAATGATTTAATTAAAATATTAAATAAAAATAAATTTAAAAAATTTTAAAATTAAATTAATTTAATAAATATTAAAAAGTTATTAAATAAAAAGATAATTAAAATTTTAAATAAAGAAATTTAAAAAAAATAAAATATTTTAAATAAATAAAAAAATTTAATTAAAAAAAAATTATTTTAAAATATTAAATTTATAAAATTAAATTAAAAAAATTATTTAAAGTTATTTTAATTAAATTTATTTAATAATTTTATTTAAAAAAATATATTAAATTAATTAACTTTATATAATTTAAAAATAATTTAACTATTTATAATTTCTTATATTTTTATTTATATATTAAAATTTTATACCTTAAATATATATGCAATTTTAAATCTTAATTAAGCTATTTAAATAGCTAGAAACGCTTACCTACTTTATGATAGCTTGCTAATAACGAAACCTAAACAGTCATCGATTTACTCGAGCAATCTTATTTGACTGACTCTTCATGTAAAACTTCAATCAAGTAAGAAACTTGAAAATCCGGTAGATCCGACACGGCCGTAAGAACTCACATGCGATCCCCGCGTCAGGTCTGTGTCACTCTACGGACAGAGGTATAAAGGCATGCATGTATATATGTACGTATTATGCACGCCAAAGGCCAGACCGAAAGCCACCGGTTATTAAGGGAAAAGGACCACCGGCAAGAAAGGAGGACGTCTCAACGATATAATATCGTGCTAAATGCGCCACTACTTTGGAATATCTAATATCTGTCCCTATGGTAGAACATCTGGTTAGAACATCTAGTTAGAACATACAGCAAACAAACAGCTTTAAAATTTATGTAACTCCCTAAAAAAAGAAACGACGCAGAAGAGCCGGGCCGTCCCATGCAATAGAACAAATCGGCCCCATAAGAAAACATTCCATGCTGACTACTATGTAACAGTTCGGTCTTCGGGTAGAACTACATACATAGGAACAGGAACAGGAACAGGGGACTTTTCAGTGAGCAGCTCCACCTAGATATATGCGGTTGGGATACACACGTACGACTAGGCGATGCAGCCGTGTTCGACGTTTTCTCGAAGCGGTGTGCGTAGGTATCTTTTTATCTCCGTCCGAGCGCGCTCTACTATGTATGCATACATATGCGGGTATATATACAGTTCTACGCGGGAGAGAGCTAAAAGAGATAAGTTATTCTTTTGTTGTCTCCTTGGGTAATCCATGACAATTATATATGCGAACTAGAGTAACCAGGTAGTATATAACAGCCGGGACAATTACCATGTGGGAAATACCGTTAGGCCACTCGGGAATAGCTGATACTTGGTTGGCCTGCTTGGGACCCTAACTTAGTGGAATCCTAACGAGAGGGGGCAAATCCTTTCAGACCAGCCGTCTTCTCCAATCTCCAACTTGAGGGTTTTTGATCTCTGCTGTCTGCACATCTAGACATCATCGATGTAACTAACAGATGTAACTAACACGCATAATTTGTCGGTCCTTATACCCAACGTGCATACTACGTATATTATTGCTACTCTAGGTATCAATCAATAGCTCAATGTAGCTCGATGAGCTTCTCTATTGGGATTCTAGTACATATAACCAAATACGTCGTAATGCATAGTGTACATACATACATAATACATAGTAGAGCGTTCAGTATGTAAGAGCTTCCCCTGTAAGTCGTAGCCAGCATCGACACATATCCGGATCGGCCCCTACCCCCGCTACCAAGCATCTTACCACCAACAATATCACTGGCTTATCCATCTCCTTTCACTTCTAGAAGTTCGAATTTACTTGCGTGACCCCGTCATATTCTTCTCCTAATCGAACGGGGCTCGAACATTACAAAATTTTAACAGCATATTTTATATAATTAGAAGTCACAGGCTTGGATGTTACTGGGCATTTTTCACTTACACGAACGGGTAACATAAATATACGTACCTATCTATTTAACCTACTCGGGAGCAACATGTCCGACCCATCTGCCAAGACACCGGCGACAGCGTCGGGTACGGCTACTACGGGTGGTACCGCTGGGCTAGCAACGTCGTCCAAACCGGGATCTCAAGCAGCATCGCCAGCGGCAGACGCTGCCTCGCCCGATTCTCAGACATCACAGACCAGCAATCCCCATATTCTTCCCGCGTCGCATTGGGCCCAGCTACCAGTACGTTAAAAACGCGCTTCGAGTCACATCAAAAGAAAATAATTAATTAAATATCGTTCTAGCCCGTTAACGTGCGCGAGGATGATGATTCGGCCTTTGAAGATGCTGCCAGCTCGACCGCGTCGTTAACTGCTAGTATCCTCGAGTATCGGACAGTTCATGGTCGCACGTATCATAGCGAACGCGGTAACGCATTATCTTGGTAAGAACCACTATGGCATTGTAATATAATATGAGACTCGCTGGTGCTGATGCATATTATTAAAGGGGCCCCAACGATGCTATTCACGACGAGTCGATGGATATCTTGTAAGTTCCTATCTTATTCATGTGAGAACGAATCTGCTCAGCCTTAGTTTCTAGTCATCATATCGCGACGATAATGCTGGATGGGAAAATCATTGCCGCTCCTCTTGGTGACGATGTTCAAGTAGGCAAATCCACCATACGGGTGCCTTGCGACTTATACTAAACATATTACAGAAAGTATTAGACGTGGGTTGCGGTACCGGTGAGTTCCACAATATGATATGACAGGTAGTCTACTTATTCAACCGTTAGCAATTAACTGACAATTTTCATAGGGATATGGGCAATGTAACTATTCGAAAGTTCCAACAGTACCTAGTTCCTACGAGCTAATACAATCCAGTGACTTTGCCGATCAGTATCCTAACGCCGAAGTGATCGGTGTCGACGTTTCACCGCAGCAGCCGCAATGGATCCCGCCTAATCTAAGATTCGAGGTAGACGACGTAACACAGCCGTGGACGTACGAGCCTAATAGCTTCGACTATATCCACATACGTTGGCTAGTGGGTGCTATTCCGGACTGGTACGCCCTGTTCAGAGAAGCCTACCAGGCCCTCAAGCCCGGCGGATACTTGGAGAGTCATGAATCTTCGTGTATGATGCAGAGCGACGACGGCACAGTGAAAGACGGGTCCCCTCTAGATCAGTGGAGCAAGGTATTCTCGGAGGCTGGAAAGAAGACGGGCCGCACGTTCAACGTTATAGAAGAGGACTTGCAAAGGAAAGCGATGGAGGCCGCGGGCTTTGAAGTTACTTACGAGACCGACATCAAGGTACGTGCCAGGGCGCCGACATGAAACCTCCATTCACATTACCGGGTTAACATTCCTTTGGCAGAACGCAATAAGTGGGTGGCCGCGAGACGAAAAACTCAGACAGATTGGCTTGTACACTGGGCTTGCTGTGGGACAGGACATTGAAGGTAAAATCCTAATTGCCAAACGTCTTAGGTCGTCTTATCATTGATTCTTACTTCTCTCGCAGGGTTTTTGACTTACTTGTGGACTATGGTGATGGGTTGGACTCCAGCAGAGATTCAGGTCTATGCTGCACATCTACGACGCGATATGCGCTCGCCTGATATCCACGCCTATTACCCTACGAGGATAATGGTTGGCCGGAAACCTCTGACGGCGGGAACTGCCTCGTGATGATGACATATTTTTATTTTTATATTTCTATTTCTACTTTACATGCACGTACCCGTCTCCAAAGGCTTCCATACGGAATTTATTCATCTAAACAAACGGGAAGCAGATAAACGCGGAGGCAACACGGGAGCCAGCAGATATCGAATTACACAGTGCTAATACGCAAGCCTGACATAATTGACAACATTATTCCTTGATTATATAACTTGTAGTTATTAGAGGTATATATGGTGTTTATTAGAGTCGTGATGCGAGTTATTGTATATATTACAACCGCGGCGCCTATACGCCGTATGTGTACCTAACCTAGGAATCCTATAGGGGGTCTGGTGGTTCTACATACAGGCTTAAGAAGACAAAGTGAGTCGAAATATAAATCAGACTCTATTCCGATACATTAAGCCACCTTAAATACCTAATAACTGTTGGTGAATGGCTACCTAGGTACCTACCTACCTACCTAAGGTATATATAGAGAGGCCGATCCGCACAGTTGTAACTTTCCACGAGCACATGGCGATTGTTAGTATAATGCATCATGCAGAATTATCTATCCCATCACCCCAAGTCTCGTGGTGTAAAAAATTACCCCACACAAATGCTTCTTCCCTTCTTAGATCCCGACGAATACAACGACTAACTAAATCCTCAACTATTTAAGCATTTAAGCACGCCTTTCATCAACTCCTAGAGTTAACAAATACGTTACTCTTCACCCCTTGCAATTTCTCCCATAGTATATTTTCCACGGTGCATCTCCTTTCGGAACTCACCTATGAAACTCGAATCGAGAGCATGGAATCACAGACTACCGCCGACCAAGCCCAGCCCCAGCTTGAGGTTCTCCTTCAGGGCATCGGCGAACTCGTGGAAGCAGCGCTCTCGTCAAATAGCGCTATAGTACAGGACCATGCCATTAAATCCGATAGTGCCCTACTTCGGTCCCGTCAATCCGAATTGCTCAAGGAATTTAAGGATATGATGCTCGCAGTCCAGAATAGGGCATCTAAGGCGATCTACGAGGTGGAGACGAAATTGGGATCATTAGAAGACTTGCCTGGTGTTAATCCGGGAAGCGAGCTGAACCGCCTATTGGGATGCACGCTCTTGGGCCGTAGACCAAGCTATAAACTTCGCGATTCTGTCCACGGCATACCCCGTCCACAGCTGATCGCTTACGATGAAGCTAGCCCGATGCTGCCCCAGAACTTTGGGGATCCTATCGTGGCCTTGCAACCTACGTTGCGAAACGTCTGGGTACTCCAGCATGCTTATGCAAAGCTACTAAATCATAAAGAGGTCCTTATCCAGCGATATCTTGCTACCGCAGACGAAAGCGCAGTAGTGAGCCGTAAAATATCTCGCGAGTACTATGAAGACCTCAGCTTAGGGCAATTGCCGTCAAAAAACAAGCTGGGCAATTTGCTTGATGTCAAGTATTCGTCGTATAATCATGCGACACACGATCTACAGATCGCCCTCGTCTTCAAGGAACTTGATGGTAGCCTTAAGTATGTGGAGGCCGTGAAGGGAGATCCAGTAAACATAGGAAATAACAAAGAGAATGGTCAATATCTGGTCCTACCCGTGGCTGAAGCTAGCATCAAAAACCTCTACGACGCATATAGGTCTCTCAGAAAGGCGACTTCGGAACAGCGTCGAGCTACTAAGGATAAGGAGTTCGCGTCTAAGCTACCGGTGGACGAGATGGACGAGCTCCAAAAGCAGTTCAGTTCTACCGGGAACGGGCTTCTTGATGAGACGAACGTCAGTAGCACTAGGAAGCGTCGCCGAATGGTGGACGATGACGGCGAATGAATAGTCAGGTAATCTAAGAGGTGGATTATTATTAGTGAACAATTAGGTACTGTATACGTATGTAGCACCTGATGCAACGGCATGGTGCCCATTGCGTCAATGGCTAGCTGGTGGACCGGTTTGCTCGATTGGGGCAATCCAATTTCCTCGATAGGAAGGACGATGGAGAAGAGAGCGGGAACGTCACGATAAACATTTTAGTGTCGTACATAGTAGATAGTATGGAAGGATTCAAAGACGGAAATTATCATATTTATTCCCTGGGAACGTAAGATGCGTGATGGAGCTGAAGGTAGACGAGGCAAGACAATGCGAGTCGAATAATACAATACATACCCTATCACGATAATATAAGAATACGCGATGTTAAAAGGATGGATGCAATAATACGGTAGGTGAATGCGGGGTGTTGTGAATATGATATCGAAGGATACCTATATTATCTAAAGATATTATTAAATAAAATATAAATATTATTTTATATCCAATACCTTGGGTATCAATGCCACCGTTTGCCTCTTAGCCTCTATTCGAGAGCTGAGCTGAAAAACTACAGCCTCAATCCCTACTATATTTCACTCGATCAAGGGTCAGGTACCAGCCAAACCCAAGCTAACGCAAGCTGGCTGGCTCGTTTACCGAGTTGGTACTGCGCTGTAGATAATCCTTGATTGCCTGCTTACGCCGCCCGCGCAGCACGAGTACAAGTAGGGCCGTCTTGCCAGTCGTGTGCCCTCTGGATATCTTTGTTCTTCTGCTGCCAGCCTGCTAGTCTGCCAGTTCCTTTGACAGCATCTTTACGGATTAGTCCTTCTAGCTGCCTCCCGCAAGCGTCATGTCTTCCCTCAGAAGTATCGCGGCCGCTGTCTTGCAGTTGGGCTTCTTGGCGCATACGGGACTCGCGAGATCATTCGAACGAGTCCCTAGGCTGGGCGCTGTCGCATCTGAGAGCTCTGTATGCTCTAAGATAGGGACCGACCTACTTCAAGCTGGCGGAAATGCTGCTGATGCCCTCGTTGGCACTGTGTTCTGCGTCGGCGTCATCGGCATGTACCACAGTGGCATAGGCGGTGGCGGCTTTATGCTCGTACGTGGTAGCGATGGGAAATATGAGTATATCGATTTTCGAGAGACGGCTCCGGCCGCTGCTTATGAGGATATGTACAACAATGACACCGACGCCAGTTTATATGGCGGCCTCGCAAGGTAATCAACTTGGCCTGGATAGGCGCTTAATACCCCTGTCTTCTAGACGAGTCGTGACACTAACAAAGCTATAGCGGTGTTCCTGGAGAGCTTAGAGGGTTAGAGTATCTGCATAAAAACTACGGGAAGCTTCCGTGGGCAGAAGTGGTGAAGCCGGCTGTTAAGGTCGCTCGGGAAGGCTTCGAGGTAACAGCAGATCTCGTGAAATACATAGCATCCGCAACGCCAAACGATTTCCTTAAGGATGACCCGGCCTGGGCAATTGACTTCGCCCCGAAGGGTTATATAGTCAAGCTAGGCGAGACCATAACGCGCAAACGCTATGCAGACACGCTGGAAGTTATCGCTAACGAGGGTCCGGATGCATTTTACACTGGCGCTATTGCTAATGCGACAATAACAGCGCTACAAGGAAAGAATGGAACCATGACGCTGGATGATTTGAAGAATTACACGGTCGCGATTAGGAAGCCTTCTGAAATCAAATACCGAGGCTATAAGCTCACGAGCATCAGCGCCCCGGCAAGTGGCGTAGTAGCGCTCAGCGCGCTGAAAATCGTCGACGGCTATGAGGGTTTTGGCGATCCTGCTGCTGTCAACCTGACCACTCATAGACTGGACGAGGCTATTAAATTTGCCTACGGTCAACGATCTGAACTTGGTGACCCTTCCTTCGTCGAAGGGCTTGACGAGTACCAGGAGTCCATGATTTCTGATGCGACCGCTGCTGAAGTGCGCTCTAAAATATCCGATTTCAAAACCCAGAACGTCTCGTACTATGACCCTGCAGGCCTTGAGAGCCTTGACACTCCGGGCACAAGTCATATTGTCACCGCCGATAAGAGTGGCTTAGCTATCAGTCTTACGACAACTATCAACTTGATCTTCGGATCCCGTGTAATCGTACCTGAGACCGGTGTTATTATGAACGATGAGATGAACGACTTCTCTATTCCCAACTCGAGCAACGCGTTTGGCTACATACCGAGCCCGGCAAACTTCATCCGCCCGGGTAAGAGACCTTTATCTTCCATCTCAGGGACTATAGTCGAGACAGCGGATGGCAAGTTGTATTTCGTTATAGGATCCGCCGGTGGTAGCCGCATCATCACGGCTACCATCCAGAATATTCACCACGTACTCGATCAGAACTTTACAACAGCCGAGGCGCTCGCTGCACCCAGGCTACATGACCAGCTCAGCCCTCCCCAGATTTCCTTTGAGTACTCTTACGACAACAGCACTGTCGCGTACCTGCAGTCGCTAGGCCATAATGTGACTTGGGTAGCACCGGGCCAGAGCACAGCGCAGGGTCTGAGACTACTACCGAACGGAACTTTCGAGGCAGCTGGGGAACCGCGGCAGGTTAACTCTGGTGGTTTCGCTGTGTAAGGATTTCGGGTGTGGGACTGTAATTTATGAGACGATTTTCATGTTGATATGATATCTTTAATATCCGGGATATATCGGTTGTATCTCAACATTTCTACCCCTATATTGAATTGGCGGCTTTCGTTGGCTCGCTGTAGACAATTTAAAATAGTAAATATTATCTAGTTGGTTAGATACCTGGCTTTACTTGCCTCTTCACGTGGGTAACGCCTAATAATTCCGTACGGCTTATAATAGGTACCTATTTTATAATAATATGTCTTGCTTTTAGCATCTTGCTTTTTCTTTAATAAACCCCGACATGTCACTTTAACCCGCAGCCCGCAGCCCGCAGCCCGCAGCCTGTAGCCTAGCCTCTAGCTAGTTGAAACTCTAAAGTTGGCGGTTAAAGTTGATTTGATCATACTAAAGCGAACTAAAGCGATCCTTTTTGTTGCCGATTCTCACGATCTCCTACTTGTCCTACTAAAGTCTACCCTTACCCCCTTTTGGCAACTTTCTCCGTCCTATTCTACCGGGTAACCCCGCTGACGGCTGTGTCCGCCTAACGATGTAAAGTAATGGCTAGAAGTGCCATTTTGGGGGGTATAATTGATGCAGTTCAAAGATAAAAAACGTGAAATACGAAACGCGAGCCTTCAACCTCTGGTTACTTACACCAGTCCGTAATACTCGGCAAATGGGTCATCGGTCTGGTTCATCGCATTCCATTCCATAATGTTTCGCACCCTCTCACTTTCGTTCCTCCCGTATAGGTGCTCAACCCAATTCAGGGTCATATCCGTGCCGGCGCTGACTCCCGAGCTGGTCCAGATATTTCCATCGACGACCCACCGGGCCTTAGCAATCCAGTTGACTTTATCGGCGTGCTCGACCGACTTGACCCAGTTAAAAGCGGCCTTGTTCGTAGTAGCGTTCTTGCCCTCGAGCTTGCCGGTCCGCGCCAAAAGCGAGGCGCCAGTGCACACGCTCATCAAGTAGTCGAGCTTAGGCTCCTGCTCGATGCGGCTGCGGATCCAGTCGACGTGGGGTTGCGTGCCGTTAATGTTGCGGGTACCGTAGCCTCCTGGCACGAAGAGCACGTCGAGATCTGGTGGGTTGTCGAAAGTGTGCGTCGGGAGGACGAACTCGGTGAAGTTGGGCGACGCCGACACGGCGCCCATGCCACTACCCACGCCGCCTATGATGGTACGGTCTACGCTGATCGGCTCCAGGTTCGTCGACAGCAGCGACAGCGTCATGTTATAGTTCATGGAAACTAGGTTCAGCACATTCAGAGGTCCGAAGACGTCTATTGATGTGAAGGCCGGGAACAGTACGTAGCCGATACGAAGGGGTGCTGCGGTATTGGGTTAGCTAGAGCGAAACGCGCTGTTGTCTACCTCCTATTTAGGTAGATGGTAGAGACGACGTACCAGTTATGTTAACCATGATGGGCAATATGATCTGACTGTCGGTAGTCTAAGCTCTGTTTATTTTGGTTTAAACAGAGTGAGATGTTGCTAACAACGGCATCGATAGATGTTTCTATAAGTTGACTCAAGTGTGACTATCGTGGTGGCCTAGAATTTCGTGTATCGTGAGACAATTAGTCAACTAATCCGATACATATCGGAGAGAGCACCTTTGAGAAAATAAGACGCAGGAATCGTAAATGAGATCCTTCGTAATCCGCACTTTAATTGCAGGTGTATGCCGGCATCCATGGGTCATCCATTGGTGTTGATACCTTCTTACTATAGGGTTAAAGGATGCCGCATCGACCCTAATTGGGAACGTGGTCTTCACCGACTCTTGGCTGGGTATGCTCACCCCATTATATGGATTTGTAAGTCCATGATCCATGAATCAAATCTGTAGAGTCCAAGAACGTGACAGGAGTGAGTAATCCTTGACATATGTTTATATCGGTCTGCAGTTTTCGTATACCTAGTTTCCGAACTAGATCGGAGAAAAGAGAATTAAGCTACTAGAAGGCCCAAGCACCTGGCGGGTGATAGTTTCGCTTGTGACGAGTTTGAGTTCATGATCTGTTGCTTTGTCAGTATGCTTATAAACCAAACAATGAGGTTTGATTTTAGGTCAATGCCAACATCTGCTTTCATTTTAAACCTTTTGTTCTACAGTTTCTAGCAAAGTCGTGGACGTTATGTCACGTTTACCCTGCTAGCTTAGCTCCTATGAATTATATCTACCTTAGGTACTATGCGTATAAACTCAAGACGACAATAGATATTACAATCCTGGTCGATTGGCATTGAGTTCTTAAAGTAAAATTTAAGTATCGTACTCTACGAGGATAACCACTAGGTGGATCGTGAGGTTATATGGTTTGACATGGTAGGTAAGTTCTATATTGAGATTCCCCACGATTGAAGATGAATCAACTAACACTCAATTTGACTTAACTAAGCTATAAGCTAACAGATAATCTGCTCCTCCTTGGCAGCAAAAGTGCCTTCTTGGCAATTTGGAAACATTATTTACAAGGTTGTCAACGGGATTTAGTGTAATTGTGTCTATCTTTAATATATTAAATACTTAACCTAGGTCGTAAGAATAATTGGCAGTTGTAACTCTCACTCTTAAAGGATACAACTAATTAATTCATCTTACAACTGTGTCTGTGTTAAGCCCCTATTCTACTCCCAGCGCCACTTTTCTCTATTATTTCTTATGACAGGTTCGGGTTTCACTCACAGGGAGGCCGGCGGCTACCCCGCAATCCAAAACATGCTTCAACAACATCATAATAGGCAGTACTCGGTGGCGTAGGCACTCTGTTTGGTTAACGGTGTACGCGATGGTGAGGGGGTGGTCAACACGACTACGAGATATCAATAGAGTCTTAGGTGAACTCTGGTTACACCACCTCTGCTCATCAAGTTTGATAGTTGGAGATGGAACTTCTCTCCTTTCATCTCAACCTACAATCTATGGGATGCTTAATATGCAGCTCCCGAAACGACAATTTAACTTGGATTGAATTTGGTGATTGCGAGTTCAAGTTCGAATATGCGTTACTTTGTTGTTAGAGATGTATTATCTCGTCATGCTCAATCGCATTCAATAGAACGGGCTCTGTCTTCAATATGTACGAAGACCACTCACCCCTCGCTAGGTCCGGTCCCCCTCACATGGGCGTCTCCATTGCATTGTATGTCTGAGAACAACACGTTTCTACGACGAGCATTCAGTATTGAAAGGAGAACTCGTGAGTGGATTAGGAATCAGTCTTTCGTGGTTAGATTCGCTAATCTCGGGTTTAGTGGCGGATGACATTCCTCCAAGGCCGTCGAGATCTCTCGCGGGGAAAGTCGCTATCGTGACAGGAGCGGGTTGCGAAGGTGATGGCCTCGGTAACGGTCGAGCAATTTCGATTCTATTAGCCGAGGATGGAGTCTCTGTCGTGTGTGCGGATGTACACCCCTCATGGGCTAAACACACCAGCGAGATGATAGAAGCAGAAGGCAAAGGGGAGAGTACTAGCTGCCAGGGAGACGTTACGAAGCCCATCGATTGTCAAAACATTGTAGATGCAGCGCTGTCTAAGTTTGGGCGAATTGACATCCTGGTCAACAACGTAGGCATCATGGGCGCCAGAGGCACTGCCACAGAATTTGACTTGGATCAGTGGCGTCGTGGGCTCGACGTAAATATCACAAGTATGGCAAACATGGTCAAGTTCGTCGTGCCCGAAATGCGCAAGAATACCGAGTCGCCAGAAGGGATTCGAGGAAGTATCGTTAATATTGGATCCGCCGCGGGGTTAGTAGGGGGTACTCCTCATCTGCTATATCCGACAAGCAAGGGTGCTGTTCTGAACATGACACGCGCCATGGCAGCGCATCACGGATCGGATGGTATTCGTGTGAACTGCGTCTGCCCAGGTAAGCGAGGCACAACGAGAATATTTCCTGTTTATCCCCATCTCCGTACACTAAATCCTATCAGGTTATCTCTATACGCCCATGATATACGCAAAAGGAATAAGCGCACAGACCCGAGAAGCGCGAAGAAACAGTACTCTCCTGCGAACAGAAGGTAATGCGTGGGACTGTGCGACGGCTGTTAGGTTCCTGGCTAGCGAACAAGCTCGTTGGATCACTGGGAGTATTCTCACGGTGGACGCCGGAACAACCGCCGTGTCCGCTGTCGAACATGTGTGAAGACGTATTAAGGGGTTTGATGGATGACCGACGTTTAATGATGTGGACTTGATATGTGCTTTGACCCTTTACTTACATGCTCGTTCTATCGGTGGACTATATATGAAAGTGCCTACAGCCATCTAATTCACAGTTGACTCTTGATGGATAGGGTTATAACTTCATAGGCCAGGTAGGTCCATATTAGTCTTGGTCATATAATCCGGTAACGGACGAGTCGACAGCGTCGTGGCCTCGATATAATACGACAAACCCCGCTTAGGTGGTCCTCCAAGCGACGAGATCGGCGTAACGGGATGTTATTGACCTGCGATGAATGTATGAATTTATTTACTCTCTATAATTTATAGCATCTAGTTGTTTAAACGTTGGCACGCATTTGTAAATGTCTATGATTGATTTAATCATAATGAAATGTCGTTACATTCCATACTCCATCACGAACTGACCCCTGGTGCTAGTTTTCCTGCAGCGCTATCGGCAGCGAGTCCTAGAAATGGAATCTCAAGGGCAACACAGGAAGGATTCAATCGTCAATCTGATAATGGCAGGCCTCCAGTACCGCAACATACCGTTCCATCTCCTGAGGACATGCAGCGTGTATTCGACGTAGCCCCATTGAATGTTACTAAAAAGAGCCGCCGTCTAGCCACCACGACGCTGATTGTCGCCTGTAACCTTATGCAGATGATTTGCAACCTGATAGGTATCGCTGGCGGGTTAGTGATTAGTGAGAGGCTTGGTGTGTCGGGCGTGCACGCCAACTGGGTTGGTGCTTCTTATCCGTACGTGGTACTCAGTTTACTTGGTTGAGAATCACGAATTCAACAATAGTCGTTAACATGAATAAGTCTTACACAAGGAACTTTCGTTCTGGTCAGTGGTCGTTTTGGGGCCGTATATGGGCATAAGAACATGCTCCTACTAGGGAGCCTACTCCTTATTATATTTACTTTCGTGTGCGGATTCTGTGACAACTTCATATCCTTCAACGTCATGCGTGCGATATCCGGGATTGGAGGAGCGTTTATCATGCCGAATGCCGTCGCTATGATCGGCATCACCAATCCTCCCGGTTTCACGAGGAATTTAAGTCTGGCCTTCTTCGGCGCATCTGCACCTATAGGGGGTTACATCGGCGGCCTTATCACCGGAGGGTTCATCGAACATGCATCTTTAGTGTGGATGTTTGTATTCATGTAAGCTGTCTTTTCATAATGCTATATAGAAGACTGCTAATACAGGTGATCAGTTCGGCCGTCAGCCTGGTGGTCACGGTGGCCCTATGGGCTCTTCTACCCCGGGAAGTTCCTGTCGACCGTGGCGGGAAGATAGACTGGACCGGGTCCTTTCTTGCTTTAACCGCATTAATTGTCTTTAACATCGTATGGAAGTAAGTCGCTTAGCTAGCTTCCTTGTCAAACTTCTCATTGACCCAGCTCCTCTCGTCAGTCAAGCACCGGCTGTGGGATGGTCAAATGCCGTAGTTATAGCCACGCTTGTCGTATCTGTTGCCCTCTTTATTGGATACTACATATGGGAGCATTACTTTGCATCCGATCCTATCATGCCATTGGGCATCTTTAAGGCACCGTCTTTTACGCCGTTAATCTTCGTGGTCCTTCTCAACTTCATGGCAACCGGTTGTCTGCTCTGGTATACGGTTCTATGGCTACAAGAGATCCGTCATTGGACACCAATGCAGTTTGCCGTAGGCTGGACACCTTTTGGAATTGGCGGCGCCGCTGCTACTTTCTTAGCAGCCTACCTCATCCCACGAGTGTCGGCGCAATGGATCTTAGCAATGGGTGCTTTCTGCATGCTAGTAGCAAACCTCCTTATTGCTACCATGCCAGAACAGCAATCCTATTGGTATCAAGTTTTCCCGAGCACCGTGTTGAGCTCATTATCACCCGACTTAACCTACACAGCAGCACAAATCATTGCCAGTAACTCGGTTAATCGAAAACAACAGGGTATTGCGGGTTCACTTATAGGATCCTTACTTCTATACGGCACCGGACTTGGGCTCGGCTTCGCATCAACCTTGGAGTCGGAAGTTACCAGTAGGCACGGCATGGTAGCAGGCTTCCGGGCAGCTCTATATTTTGGAGTGGGTCTTTGTGTTGTAGCATTGATACTTGACATCTGTTTCGTAAGACTCGTACATGATGATCGTGAGGGTTGGGAAGATCCTGCAGATGCAGACCCAGCCGATGATATTATAGCACCAGTGGCAACAGGAGCAGAGTTGCGAGAACTCCGGCCGCAGTTAGAGCAGCGTTAAAATAGTCTTTGATTCCTCGGCACCAAGATTCCAGTACGAAGGACTACTATGTTCGCATATCTAATCGAGTAAATAAATTGAATACAGTTATGATCAGGAGGTCTATAGCAAGGGTCGCATGATGCCAGCCAAAGTATCGTCGAAATCTAAGTAACACCTTAATACGAGTTACCCCTAAATACCTTACTACCCGAATTCTCCTCTATATAAACGTACTCGTCACCTTGAAAATAGAATTTTCTTGTTCCGCGGAGTACCTGCTAGTAAATTATTGAAGTAATATGCAAATGGGAAAATCAATTATGTACGTTGGTATGTACACACCGAGTTGTCAACTCATAGATACAAACTCCATGGTACCCTTCTGTTTGAAGTCCCCTTTTTTATCCTACATATTACCCAATTCGTCATATATACCTTGTCTAGAGTATAATAACCGATAAAAATTGCATCACAAAAGCGAAGTTGTCGTTCTTGGGCCAGCATTCATCCCAAGCGCCATGTGTCAAATAGAAGTTTAGATTAGTATCGCCACAAATTATATGATCGCATCTAGTGGAATGGGCAACGCTTCCCAGCACGCTTCTCGGAAGGCCTCTCGGCACGCTTAGAAATCTTGCCAGGTGACTGGGGGAAATGCTGAGCCTCGACGAGCTTGTCCATCAGGTTGCCCAGGTCCTCTTCCGTCAAGGGGTCCTTCATCTTTGAGAAACCAAGCTCATAAGGCAAGCGTTCATTTTCTATAAAAGTTACTCTGTTAGCTTCTAAATGCACTCATAAATTATTGGACATCATCGCCTTACCGAACAAGTACTCCACGTAGGCCTTCGGGACCGTGCCGGTCTCCTTAGATCCTAGAATGGAGAGATATGCAACTGACTCGCCGATACTGAAGCGTGAGCCTATCTCCGAAAGCGAGTACTCAGGGTTCGTAAGGTTCGAGGTCATAAGACGGGCCACACGCGCGTTGGCTGCCATCTGTATAGTAAGTATGTCTCCGGTCCAGTACGATTTGGTTTCGTTAAAGACAGCCTCGTTAAAGACGTCCGGAGGACCAAAGTAAGAGTCCTGACGACTATGTACCTTTGAATTAGTGATTTATAATTAAGTGAAAGAGCATCATCGTGGCTCGGAAACACACCTCAAGCTTCCATCATGCTCAAGAATGTTGTGACGGCTGAGGTGATTCAAGTCGAAGGTCGTCGCGTTAGGCTGAGGGTTCGTGGTCACCGCGAACTCGTGCAAGAAGGTACTGAGCTCCGGGTCGATATTTAGCGCCGAGGATAGAGCATCTACCGTCTTATTTACAGTGATACTCTTTCCATCGTGAGGTAAAAACCCGTGGTTTGCTAAAGTGTTGAGCATGGGACAAGGCGAACGCACTTTATTATTAGTGTTAGCAACGCGGTACTCGATGTTTGCTTCGGCCGAGTTTTGGTGGATAGCTTACCGTCGTTCGGTCCGGGACCTTCCCACGGGGCTGTATCGGCAATTGCGGAGCCGAAGGCTACGGCGGAGGATAGATAAACTAGCTTCATCCTGACTTAGTTTGAATTTGACTTGTTGATGATATTAAATCGTTTGATGATATTAAAACGTGTTGAGATGATACATTGTTGGTCGCACCAGCTTCCTTAAATACTTCTAATATTTTAACTGTAAATACATTTTCAGTTAACTAAGCAGCGCATACAACGGACCGGAGATTATCGAAAGAATGAACGTTCCGGACGCTGTTGACGTAGAGTCAGGGTGCCGCGTCACCAAACCAGGCAGCGATTTAACACCCGCAGCCGTACCGCAGATACGCAATAAACGCAGTATAGGCAGTACCATCATACCCAAATTCCCTCATTTTCTATGCATAGAAGCCCTATGTGGCGGTAAGTTTCGTCCGCGGACCCCGGTCATGAGACCTACCGGATTATGAACCGGGGAGCTAAGCTTTGAAGCTCGATCGTGGAGACGAGTCCGAAGGGCGAGAACCGCGCCTTAGAGCTGCTCCGTATGGGTAGAGACCGCCTAACGTTGTCGATCCTGGGGCGGAGCAGTCACAACAGATGACAATATGATTTCATTTTATTGGCCGGAATGCCTTTTCGAGATCTTCCTTGAGTCTTCTAGCGAATTAGCAATCATTCATTACAAACATGGGGTTGATATTCATGCAACATTTACCGAAAGCTGCCACACTGCCCTGACAGCCGGACTGCATACACGAGCGGGACAGGACCGAATTCAGGGGTAAATCGGACAGAATCATTGGTCCGAGGACTCTATCTTGCGCCTAAATGAAGAAGTGCGGCTGAGTCCTAACCGCTTCGGTACCGATTCTATCATGTTAACCCGGTCTAAACTATTCATGTATTATAACATATTATATCGGCCACAAATCACTACGTTAAACGCTCGAGCTTAAGTGGAAGATACGTGACTAAACTAATTTACTTCTCACTTAACCCGTCTACACCATAAACCATATCTCTACATTACCAAAAAGAAAAAAAAAGAAAAAAAAAAAGTCTCATAACGCGCTGCCTAGACAAATTGCCGATAGAGACTAGGCTCATTCGATACCGTATGCAGCCTCCAACGGGATAGGTACTCGGGATACTCGGGAGGCTCGTGCTCTTGACGCCCCATTTGTTAGTCGCGATAGATCAATCCAACGCACAACTAAAGGAGAGCACCGTTGCACCCAAAAGGGTGGCTGTGTAATGGAGTAATGGAGTAAAGACTATTCGTTCGTTTTAGTATGGCAGTTAGTTCGAAACGTCCAAACCGGCCAACGAGGAGCTCAGTAGTACCAAGATCTCATGCCACGTATCGAGGCTTAGATGGTAGGATGGGTATCCAAGCTTGCCAAGGAAAAGAAGCTTAACGGAATACTCTATCTTCAGGCTCGGGATAGTAAAATGTCTATGAATTTGCTAGCTTAATGTGCCAATACGACTACGCAGAGTCGGAATTCACGATTCTACTTCCTTTTCTGGTCACCGGCTACAATATCTTGTTCAACTCTCGTACGATTGGCTTTAGGGGTCGTTTAAATGACGCCTTCCTCGCCAGCGCGTTGTGACCATACTTCTATATCTCGGGTAATCGGCATCATACTCGCTGAAGATTTTTCTTGAATCCTGATGATGCATGATGAGGCACTATCAAAATAATTTTCGTGCAGTATAGCGACAGCAAAGATAACTCGCTAAAATGACCATTAACTAGGTCCATAGTTGCAAACCTACATGTCAAATAATCGGACCGAAACAAAACGGGATGCAATACTGAGTCAAAAAATCTAGAACGGAAAAACAGGTTAATGCAGGTGGCAATAGAAGCTATCATGGACAACGGTCAGTTGAGAGAACGATTGTGATTAAGGGGGTTAGAGGGCATCCAAGCCTCAATCCTTCTGGATAGTTTTAATGCCTAATATGACAAAAGGAGACTGAAGGCAAATCAGTCAATAAACTAAGAGTGATAGTAGAAGAATAACCAAAAAGGGGGTAAACTAGAAAGATCTACTAGATCACATTCATGGGTTATGTATACAATATTCATATAATTGCTTTAGACAGCCTATTAGTTTCGTAACTATCATACCGATTTCATTTACTGAATTTCCCGATTCTTGTTAGGTTCGTGATGGGTACCTAGTTAGAATAATCAACACATTGAAAGGTGTTGGTTCCCATTGCGTCTTCCACGCGACAAGAGCTCATGCTGCAGGTACTCTTTACCAGTCTTAAGGTAATATCATACGTTACCGTCTACTATCCACAATCACCTGCGTGTATCGTGGCAATGAAGTAGAGGCTATGTAAAAGGATAAATAAATGGATCCGTAGGTATGTCTCAAGCGAGATATCGGAGGAACCCTAGAAGGATAGAGGGCGAGGCTTAGGCGACACGTGTTAAGGAAGCAGCTGCCAGATAGGTTGTACGCATCACATTATAGCGTACACTGGCACCCGGAATACATAGTACGCGTGCACTATTCATTGGTGATGTCCCAGGATAGCTGCTATGTGACAGCCCCTTAACCACTATATACTACGGCCGCTACTATAGCTTCAGGGGCTCATTTAGCATTTAACGTCATAAGCCTCGTTTAGATACAAACTAATAGGTAACATCATGTCCTGGGAACAAATAAGTTATGTCAATAGTTAAAACGACGGTATACAAGTCGTGTTAGTTAGCTCTTATCTAGGTGGGTGTCTCGGTTAAATCACTAAGCTTTTCCGCGAGTGAAGAGCGACGCCCGACTTATATACACATTCTTACTAAAATGCCTCATTATATCCAGAAGCAGTTTCCCAATGACACATTTCAACAAGAGTCGTTCCGTCATGATGGATGAACCAACTTTGTTTCACTTGCTTTCTATCTATATTGAAGGTAAATATGGTATGGGCTCCATGTTATGAGGTGGACTAAGAAGCTGGGAAATAACTTCGTTGTTTGGTGAGGAACTCTAGGCTGGCTATGGGAGGCTACGGCTATAACTACATACTAATGGTGCCCTTTGTTCTAGATGTCTCGTCTAGAACCCTGATACTCCAATTATAGATCACTTCCTAAATTATGTGGCACAAGCATTTCTACACAATCAAGTAAACAGAACTATAGGTTGATATTAAAATAAGGATCTTCACCGATAATGTTAATTTATGTAGTATTTACCAAACTTTGAAGTAAATCATAGAATATTTGATGGCTTAACAATTGCAGTAACCTTCTTTCGAAAGCGTTTGGATACTAAAGGTTTTCTAAAACCCCGATTGCCAACGTTAACAATCATGGCAGGTTTCAAAGTGAATCAGAGACGTATAGTGTTAGTAACTCTACCTGGCTACTGGCTACTATGTTTTGGAGAAACTAACAGTTATATATTTCAAACTCACAATACGTCCCTATAGTATAACCATTCACTCAGGAGATAGAGTCTCCATCATGAAGGCACTCAACTTTTCTATATGTTCACCCGTAGACCAGCCATTCTTAGTACCGTTTGCTATGTTTTCCAGAACACCACCATACGGACCCCGGATTTCCATAGTAGCCCAGGCATAGACTTCCTTCCCCGCTATCCATAACCCTAGGTATTCCTCCCGTTCTCGGATTCATCCGCAACGGAAATTAACCATGCCAAACTCAAATAAATACGGCGCCGGGGGTGGCAAGGACCTGCCCCCATTCAACATCAACAGGTATACGGGCCAGTCCTCCAGGGCCAATTCGGGGCAGACGCTTGCACCTTTACAGTCCGGGAACCCACCCGGAAACGGCCCCAAGCCACAGCCCCTGGAACCTCCTACGGCGGCTTATGTTGATCCACCACAACGCATCGTCCCGCTGCAGACCTGCTTAGTTTGCGAGTTCCTTAGAAAAGGGAAGGTTCACGCTTATTAAGTCACCGTCTGCGTCGCTTTCATCCCGTACCTAGGTTAGGTGCCTTATGAATGCGACCGTTACGTAGGTACATCAGGTAGTGGATAAATATACTCAATGCCGAGGAGGCCTGTACCGTAGACGATCTACTAAATTGCAACTGAGCCATTGACCTAACCCATCATATGATATTGTGATTAGATTCGAGTAATTTTATATGTATAATTACCTCTTAGATAATACCCCGGAAAGCATCCACCCCGATTCGCAACGTGGAGCGTCGGAAAGCGGACGGTCGGACGGACAGTCGTAAGCCCCATTCAAGACCGTAGAAACCCGCCCCGTTATGACTGAAATGAGCGACGACGATGGAAAATACAGCGGATTGAGAGCACGCTCCGTGATTGTGGACAATAGGAGGCGTTGGACCGTGTAAATTCAACTAGACCTAGGGGTAGGCTTCCCTATTTATTTTATATATTTCTCTTCAACTTGCATTTCACTTACTCTCTACTTCTAAACGCGTGCCAAGTATCCACAGTCTGTTAGAACTTGTAGCAGCGCCTCGTACTGATTTTCTTACATCGGTCCCAGTCTAGCCTACCGCACTCACCCAATTATGGTCTTACGGGAGGAGAAAGAGCTTCAACGCCAGAGCGAACAAAATGAGGCGCCTATTGACTCAACCAGCCAAGCGTATCCCTCGGGTTATAAGCTAGCAATCATACTGACCTCCCTCTATATTGGCATTTTCTTGGTAGCCTTGGTATGTGAGCGAGTAGCAGCATGCTTACTCTACCATGGTAGGATGTACCAATGAACTAACGTGGCTAACAGGACAGACTTATCATCTCGACCGCTATACCTTCCATCACCAACGAGTTCGACGCGGCAAACGACATCGGCTGGTATGGCACAGCATTCTTGCTCACCAACTGCGCTTTCCTACCCGTATTTGGGAAATTATACACCCTCATGAACGTCAAGGCTACCTTTATGATAGCTATCTTACTATTTGAAATTGGTTCGGCTATTTGCGGTGCGGCGCCTAACTCGATTGCTTTTATAATCGGTAGAGCAATCGCTGGAATAGGGGCTGGAGGCGTCCAGTCTGGTGTTGTACGTTCCCCTTCATCTTTACTAGATATTATTACCTCATAATTATTCTAACTCTCCGATGCTATAATACATTAGGTCACTATTATCGTATATGCCGTTCCGCTTGAGAAACGCCCAATGTACCAAGGCCTCTTCGGTGCCGTATTCGGGATCTCGTCAGTACTAGGTCCGTTAGTCGGTGGCGCTTTTACTACGAACGTTACCTGGAGATGGTGTTTTTATATCAACCTACCCATCGGAGGCGTCGTGATGGTGTTTATCTTCTTCTTGCTTCACGTTCCCGATCACTCTAACACTAAGCATACTCTGAGAAGCAAACTGCAGCAACTCAACATTGAGGGACAAGCCGTTCTCATCCCTGGAGTAGTTTGTCTATGTCTGGCTCTCCAGTGGGGTGGGTTTACGTATAGTGTAAGTTCTGGAACTCCCTTTGCGGCGCTTTTTCTACCGTCTTGGATTGGCAGAACTAACTGCATATAGTGGAATAATGGGAGAATTATTGCTTTGCTGGTGCTTGCTTTCGCCCTTTTGATTGCATTTATCTTGATTCAAGTTTGGAGGCCGGAACGAGCCACGGTACCGCCGCGTATTTTTATTCAACGAAGCATCTATAGTGCTTTCTTCGTGAGCTCTTGCCTTGGCGCTCAGCAAACGTTGATGCGTAAGTATAACCCCCAATTCAGATAGGATATACTATTGCATGCTGACACTAGATTATCAGTCTATTACCTTCCCATATGGTTTCAGGCTGTCAAAGGGGATACGGCTGTCGAGAGCGGCATTCACCTTCTACCACAGGTGCTTGCTCTTGTTATCGCGTCCATTATCACTGGCGTACTAACAACCCGCATCGGCTATTACACGCCCTTCGTGATCTTCGGCATCTGCCTCACAACGATTGGCTCCGGCCTAATTACCACGTTTGAAGTCGACTCAACCGTAGGCCAATGGATTGGTTATCAAATCCTGTTCGGCTGGGGCTTTGGCGGTTGTATCCAGGCGCCCAACATGGCTGCTCAGACGGTGCTGCCGCGCGACCAAGTGTCCATCGGTGCTTCGCTTATGCTTTTTTCTCAGACGCTCTTTGGCGCCATCTTTGTTTCGGTCGGACAAAACGTCTTGGTCAGCCAACTATCCACACGCCTTGCCGGAATCCCGGGCTTCGACCCTCAAAGAATTGCAGGCGCCGGCGCCACCGAACTTTTGAATATCATTCCTTCTGAGTACCTTGCTACTGCGTTGGAAGGCTATAATGAATCGCTGCGCGTATGCTTCCAAATCTCACTCATCATATCCTGCCTCTCCATCTTTGGTGGGCTCGGTATGGAATGGCGCAGTGTGAAAAAGCAGAAGGAGGATTCTCCGTCCGCCTCGGAAAGTAGCCCGTAACTTGCGCATACGACGGTAGGCACAATTAGACAGTAATTAGATTGGGTAGCCAGCAGGGGGTAACCCCTTTAAATTCAATGTAGATTTTTTCTTTTCCACAAGCAACTTGAGATCGAAAAATTTGCCATTAATAGTCTCAGGAGGCTAGGGGTGATATTGCTCTGATACGAAGTCTTCCAGTATGTTTCCGGTTTCAACCGCGAAGAATGAAGGATCCAAACCCATGGTTTGCTCATAGTTAAAACTATCGAAATAGTTTTGCGTAGCTTCTCCTGGTATCCGATCGAGGAACCCTGCCGCATGGCCAATGTTCACAGATGGATGAAGCAGGCCACCATTGAGGGTTGCCAATGTTGGTGTACTTGATTTGTCCGAATCTTGCCGCAATACAGCCGCGATGGCTTTGGCTGCTCTTCGCGCTTCCGTAAGTTGGTCCGCCTCCTTCTCCCATAGAGCTTTCGCAAAAGTCAGAGCCTCGACGATGTCATGTCGTCTATGTAGAGAGTATGAATCACTCGCACCAGAGTGACTATTGTCAAACCTACTCAACGCGAAACATAGCATCATTGTAGACTGTAGGAATTCATAATTAAGGGATATAGGCACCTTCCAGCGAATGTTAAACAGAATGCCCCCAGGTTGAACCTCTTCGCTCATTCTTCTTTGATGCTCCAGTATTGCAAGTGCAGCATTGATGCAGATGTCGTTAGACTTCGCGTTTTCTTCCCCGGAAGATCCTTTCATGAAGCTCCACCGATGGAGGAGATAAACAGCCTTCTGTACAAGGACATCCATGAACATGCCGTGTAGTATCGCAAGAGGATTATCTGCGATTGATATTTCGAGTGGTTTAAATTTAAGCCATGCGGGTATGGCATCGATGGCCCTTTGAAGTTTGGAGCTTAACGTCGCAATAGTGGATGGTGATGGTGGCCCTGCCTCAATTACGTCGTATATCTCCGCTGTTACTCGGATGATCTTATCTCTCTGTATAATGTATAGGAGCGCAGTAGATTCCGTCAACAATCTCTCGGGTGGAATTTCGTCATGCTCGACGCCTATATCATAGCTGAACAAGTGCGCGGGCGGACGCGTGTCGCATTGGGAATCCTTTATAATACGTGGTAATCCCACTTGCGTACTCGAAAAGAAGTCCATCTGGTACAGGATGATCCAGAGCCGTCGCCGATGTTCTGCCTGCAAGGGTCGAATGCTCGGCCAGTGAGAAGGATCGCGGTGAAGGCCCATGCGTAGCGCAATCCGGATGATGACACCGATAAGAATCCAATTACTTACGGATATATCGATGTTTACGTTCCGTTCGACAAAGTAGTATAAAGTCAGAGTTTCGATGGTGTACTTACCGGGACAGAGATAATCACCGGTGATTAAGCAATGGGTGGTGAGGCATCGATAGGTCTCCAACATATTTTGTACCTCGACGGCGGACAAGCCGTGAGATCTCGCGTCTTGCTGCTGTAAGAAGGCAGATACGCTCATGACCTAGAAGACCGAAAGGGATTCGTGTTAGCGGTCATATCCTCTACTTCTAGAGGCCGAATTTATCTCCCCAGGAGAAAGAATTGTTCGACTTACTGTTAACGGTTAGCTATCGTTGATCAAACAGCACTTGAGCAGTGGGAGAAATAGATGTTTCGATATGCTTAACACCTACCACTAAATAAAAGCCCTATCCACATAATAGAGGTATTAGTAGGGTTACCCCAGAAGGTCTCGTACTGTACATAGAATAAGCAAGTAATCAATAACAATGGTGCGGGTTCTTGACCTCTGCGAGGAACGTTTGTCGGTGTAGAATAACTAGCAAGTAGCGGCATCAGCCCAGTTAACAATGAATCCCGATTATTAGCCCAGATATCAATTAAAAGACTTACAAGGGCCCATCTCATAATCATTAAAGAATTGGGATACGTGTCTATCAACCACTTTTCGCGGAGGCATCATAGCTAGAATTTGCTCTCTCGGAAGACAAGGCGCACTGCTGAGGAGAGAGGACTTCGTGGTAGTCAAGCCCTGCATTAATCCAGCATTAGACAGAGTCGGCTCGGGGTTCGTATTATTACTCTCAGAGTATTCTTCGGGGTACTCCTCCGAGAGCTCGTCTTTGAGATGCCGGATCTAGGGAAAAGGTCATCAGACTGCTTGGTAGACTTCCTATCATAACAACTTACGTCGTCCAAGATCGTAACCCAATGGGAACTACCAGTGTAGATTGTATGACTATCAGTGAGACTCAATTTACCCATATCATCTATTATATTGCCCTCTTGACGCTGGGGGATATTATCATTCAGGACCCCGCTTGGCATTGCATTGTTGCTTGATGGTCGACATGAATTCTGTGCCATCTCAATAACTAGATTTTCAAGGCGGGTAATTCTCTGGCGCGTCTGCTGGCCTCTAGTACGAGGCCTGTAGTCGACAGCATCTTTTCGCTCTTGCTCTGAGCAACTATAGATACACTCATCAGGCTTATCGCGTCGCACGCAAGCAGCACAAGGAGACTGCCTATCGCAACGAAGCCTACAAGGGGCTTTAGCACAGTCCATCTTCTCTCCAAAAGAAACCACTTACTTGCGTCCTCTGCAGAAAGCGCAGCTCAAGATAGGCTTGACACGTCTCCTACTATGAGATGTTGATTGCACCATAGCTTAGACTTAGATAGTCAATTCGAGGGGTTTCGTTTTGAAGAAGTCTAGATAGAATAAAGAGAGATATGTTACGAATAACCCGGTGTTTTCAGTGGACAAGGGTACCTAACCCAAGCCTTAAAACAATGGAAGCAGGCCCTGGCCAAAATAAATGAGCCACACCCACCAGCCACACATCCCACTTACAGACACAACACCACTGAGTAAGGTAATCGTTGAATACACTACCTACCTGACTATAAGACAATTACAGGTAGAAACAATGCATTTTAAACGTTTTAATATGCAATCTTATCTACTTTAGCCAATATAATATCATCCCACCTATCTGGCATTGAATCCCAGTCTTTATTGGTGCGTTCATCGCTTAGATTCCAATAGCCTTTTTAAGGGTATCGTTGATTTGGGGTAACTTTATATCGCAATTACAACGTAACCAATCGACTTAAAATAAAATAGGAAATAGTATAAGAATCGCCTCCTTTTGCTTTATCTATCTATATAAGTTTTAAATGCTATCTACTATGACGTTGTGTGTAAAATCATATATGAAATCATCGTGTTTTAGTTGAAATAGGTGGGCTTTAATGGTGTGGCTCATTTATTTTGGCCAGGGCCTGGGAAGCAAGCCCAAGGTGTGGATCCGTCACCACTGGGCACGGACCACCACTCGTGAGGACTCACTGGTCCACGAGTAGAGATGCATACAAATTGTAATTAGCATTCTAGATAGATTCCTCCCTTTTACTTAATCAATCATACAACACTACGAGACCTATTTAGATACGTATTACCATTGTAATATTGTATCACGGGTCCTTGTGTTGTGATACTAAGACGCACAGCGTCACCATTGGATATTAAATTATTCCAACTTACTTGTTATTGAAGCATATGTCCGTTATTAGTTTAAATCACGGATTCTAAATATATTAAAGTAGGAAAGGGGTGGGGTTATATGGCTTGAAATTGAAGTTCACTATAAAGGGTAAGGGAGTAGTAGTGGCTCACTTCACAAGCGCATGAATTAAAACAAGATGTTTAAATATGAGTTTTTTTAAGAGTCTTAATAAAAAAACCTAGGATCTCTCAGTGCGGTGAAGGTAGATTATATACGAGAGACTACTCTGGAAAACGGTGATGAAAAAAACAGTTTATCAAACACATAGGCACCGCTTATGTTCATTATACCTACTACCTACCTACATATACCAAACCTATAAGACTTGATATCGCAGAAGAAATCAACTATTGTATTTGATAGCACGTTATTGAGATTAGTTAATAAAAAATACAATATCATTCATTAAGGGGGCTAAAACAGAGGGCTGAGGGCTAGCAACGACTTTCGAATTTGTCCATTAGTTGAAGATACGAAGAGATTATAAAACAGGATTGTTAAAAGCGACCCACCGATTAACAATCTATTTCTTTAAGTTCCTAGTGTAGATAGTTTAATGCTGCAGGAATACTCATCGGTGGCGAACTGGTCAGTTAATTTTACATAGCAATGAGGTGACCGGCCAAGACGCCAAGTCCATCTCCCCGATATGTAACAATTGTGGTGCTCAAGCGAAAGCATCACCGGAATACAACCCCTACACCGCAGACGAAATAATCTAGACTTATTCTAGACTTATAGTCTAGACTTATAATCTAGACTTAGTGGATAATAGATACGGCGTGCTTCAATTCTTATCTTCGAATGTTATATCCGTTGCTGACGCCGGATGTAGGCAAATACAATATCCTACTAGTTGAATCGTAAACCCAGCGGTGTAAATCGGTCGTGATTGGCCACAAGGAGAAATCTCCTGATATAGTTCCGTTAGTAGTCCGCGATGGGTTTCATTCCCATTGCAAACATTTACCTTGTAGCCATTCACATCACGATCTATGACGTGGGGAAGGGTACACTCCACCATGAGAACCTGTATCTCTAATGCAAGGTGAACAATAGCACGTCCGGCTGGTCTCCGATGCCAACCAAAACTTTACTCGACTCCACCGGGACCGAAATTCGTCTTATAAAAATGCACTTGACACTTCGGTACTCCCACCGAGGGGGACCTTAAGGTCTTACTAAACCTAAAGGACTTGAACTTGATCCCTATCCCTCTTGTTAATTTACTATGGATCATAATCCTTCGCGCCCGCTGCCAGACGCTGATTTCTACCATGACGCAGGCGTAGAAACGCCATATATGGGTCTAGGCCTAGAAACGGGAGCTTTCCCTTCCGGCGTCGCTTCGCCTGATCCTCTATTAGGGTCCTCGCGTAGCAGTTACTTCTCCCTAGATCGTAAGGCTCTTGCTCAGGCTCTCGGCCAGACCCCGGACGAGAGCCAAAGCAGCCAGATTGAAGTCCAGCTACAGACACGCGACATCACCGACCACGGCCGCGATGAAGTCCTTCTTGATCCCATGTTGGAGCTCGGCGCCATAAGGAGCCGAAGCGTCGCCGGACATCATCCCGACGAGGAAACCGGCGGTAACGGAGGGGCTTCCCGTCCCGGCTTATCCCAGGGCATTCCGCCTGAGCTGCCGAATTTGGCGGCCGAGATAGTCTTCGTGTTAGTGTGCTCAGCGGGCCAACTCATCTTTGCGCTTACGTATGGTCACGCAAATATCGCACAGACAGCATTGCGCGATGCTCTTGGCCTTCCGGCTACCCAAACTCCTTGGGTATTGGGCTCTGCACTACTAGCCAGTGGATTATCGGTTATTGTTGCCGGGTCACTCGCCGATTTAGCAGCCCCGAGGCCCCTGATGGTTGGCGCCTTCTTATGGAGCGCAGCGTGGCATGCCGTCGCCGCCGGGGCCGTATCGCCCCGACTAAAGATCTTGTTTTTCGTCTCTCGTGCTATGCAGGGACTCTCGTTAGGGGTTCTTGTATCTGCGTCTATGAGCATTCTCGGCCGCGTCTACAAGCCCGGCGTTCGTAAAACGCGCGTCTTCTCGTTGAGTACGTCACGTCAGGGTGTTTCGATTTCTCGTTTTCTCCTTTGGAACCTACCTATAGCACTATTGTCATTGCTAACTGCAATTCTTATAGTGGCAGCCGGAGCCCCCTTAGGTTTTTGGTTAGGTTGCATCCATGGAGGCGCGCTGGCTGCACATCTGCCATGGCTCTTTGGAAGCACGGCTATTTTCCTAGTACTTTGCGCCGTGGCTGCGCAGATGACGCTGCCGGATCTGAGTCCTGCGAAAGATAGCAATGACATGGACGCGCCCTCGCTCCGGCAGTTTGACTACCTCGGCGCCGTGCTCTCGTCTGTGGGCTGCGGACTTTTGCTCTTCGGATTGACGCAGGGCTCTTCGGCCAATTGGAGTCCCTATACATACTCACTCATCGCGGTAGGCCTCTTGATGTTCGTCGCGTTCGCTTTTGTCGAACGCTCCGTAAAGCGACCTCTGGTCCCGAATGGCCTGTGGAAGACCCCCGGGTTTGCAGCCCTTCTCGTGGCATACTTCCTCGGATTTGGGGGTTTTAGTAAGTTTACACCGTCCCAATTTCGTCGTATTAAAAGGATGAACCAAACAAGATGTTAACAGAACTCTATCAAGCTGGCGCATGGCAATTCTACGCCGTCCAATTCTGGCAGCGCTACCAAGGCGCCAGCCCTCTCACAGTGGCGTTATACATCCTTCCGAATGGTATTGTTGGCATACTAGCAGCCTTCGTCGTGTCTAAGACGCTACACGTGTTCCCGGGGCACTGGATATTCACAGCAAGTATGATTGCTTTTGCTCTAGGGCCCGCATTCTTCCTACCGCAGACGCCGTCCACGTCGTATTGGGCGCTTTCGTTGCCGGGTGTGGCGCTGGCGACGTTCGGCCCGGACATGAGCTTTGCGGCGGCGGCCATCTTTATTACTTCTAGCGTCCCAAAATCGTACCAGGGCTCAGCCGGGGCCTTGCTGGTAACAGTACAAAACTTAACATCTGCCATCATGACGTCGATCTCGGACTCGATAGGAGTAAAGGTCGATCCGCTGCCAACAGGTGAAATAGGGCTGCAGGGGCTTAAGGCAATTTGGTGGTTCGGGCTCGCTTCCGCACTGACGGGAGCTCTCATTACAGCAACCCTAGTACGGATACCCAAGGCCGAGGAAAAGGAGCATGTACAATAAAGAACTAAGACAATGTGGGAACGCATATAGGTTACAATGAATGTTTGGTAAAACTATAGGTTATGTAGGTACTTAAGGGTTACAATAGGAATATGTGTTGGGTAGATAAAAGTTGGAAGGACTTAGAATGAACTAACCTGGAGTTCATTATCCAAGGAGTGAATAAAAACTATCTTGACTTTATCTTGGGGTGGCCTCATAGGCCGTAGGCTGAGTACCTATATGTTACGAATTATCTTCAGCCACAGGAGTTACAGTCTATACGATATATATCTAGGTTGCCTTGATATTAATAGGAAAAGAGGCTGGTTATCCTAGCCGATCAGTGTTACCCAGACACCGATGGCGTACTGTCTCTAGTATATCGATCCACAACAGTCATAGAAAACCAATACTCCTTAGTTGGACTGCTTATAGTACCCAGCTATTTTATAGCATATCGTGTGCTAGAAGCGTATATACCTTGGGTAGTTTTGGGTCGGTTCGATATATATTGCTTCGTGTAAGACAGAATAGTCTCACTAAGTATTGTGTTATGTCAAATAAGAATAGCCATAAAAGGATGCGTCCTGTTACGCCTTGAGGATCGGCTTCCCGTGGTACAATGGCCGGTATGGCGGCCCTCTCGGCGGCGTAGTCCAACGGAAAGGAGTATGCCAAATGTTGTACCTCCATATGGTTTCGATGATAATTCTCGAGAATGGTTTAAAGAGAATAGTAAAAGCCTGTCCGTCTCCTAGAAGTGAATGCCTGCCTTGTCTGTCCGTTAATGTGCCTACACTATCAAGGTATACTAACGACTTACCCTATATCAATCCACAGTCTATGAAGAGAGAAATATAGCAGCATAATACACCATAAGAAACATGGTCGAAATGCGACGCTACGAAGGAATATGGCGGAAGCGCGATGTGCTACCATTTTGGATTTTACAAATCCTCCTTATGCATATCTGTATTGTCGCTGCGGTCTTACTTTTCGTTGGCGCGTCCTCCGTAGAGCGGCAGCAGAGCAAGCTTGACTCGTCTGGTCTCTTTACGATCGTGTACTTAGGCTACGAGGCAGATGACCTAGTCAAGTACGCGCGGATCATGGGAATTGTCATGCTCGTCCTCGGTATCGGTACTCTTATCTTTGACATTATTGAGATTGTGCTATACGTCCGGGGCCGGTTGAATCCAGTTATACTGCTCTCATGCGCATGTATCAAGACTCTGATCTGGAGCGCATACTTCATCACTGCTATCATCGCCATAGCAGCCGGTTCCATTTTCGGTGTATTGGGTTTATTGATAGGCATAGTACCCGTGGCGACGAACATTGCGCAACTCGCCTGGGGCATCATATACACGAACCGCGAACGAAACGGCCAGCTCTCAAACCGGTCTAAGCACAAGTCCATCAGAGACGACGGGAGTTACGATATGGTGTACGATATTAGAGACCGATGGAACTATTTTTGAGAAGCATGGCAAACTATATTAGAAAACCGTATTATAACGTGGAGCGGGCCTTTAAGGGGATATTTTGGTGGATGGTAAATGAGCATTTATCGACCATCTCTCGGATGGGGGTTAAGCATGTAAACGTAACTGAGCTGATAGAATAGATCGCGAGTGTACCTATAACGACTAAGCCCTCACATAGGCGCCCTCGGAGTTTTGAGTCTGTTATGCCTGACATAAGGGGTTGAGCGTAGGTCGAACACGTCTCAGCCTCCTTGTTCGAGTTCCTTAATAAGAATTGATGCTGAGATAAAAAAGGGTGACGATGTACATATCAGCGTTTCAGCTGCCAAGATTCTAGACTTCCGTTGTTTCAACGCCCCGCCACAGCTGAAATTCTACATACATAGTAGTATCGTTAAATATTGGACGTAGACATACCGGACGTAGACTCCAAAAGGATGCCTATGACTAGGCCGTTAAGTTGAGTACCTCCTAAATATTCGGTAAGGCGGCATCGCGAACGTAGCCGCATACATATCATACCTCCATGTCTCCATATGTACCTCTAACCTGAGGCCTAAGGCCTAAGGGTGGCTTAGCAGACATTGTCGCATCTTGAATTCGCATGAGCCAATGAGTTATTGAGCATGTTGTGCATCCGAATTTCTGTCCATCGGGTTACGAAAACACCGTACTCCCAGTGACTTCCTATTTCATAGTCATAGGTATTTATAGAGCTTGATGTGAAAGTGATTTCAATTTTTCTAAGCACTATTTGGTTGTAAGAGTATGCCTCGTGTAGCTCGTGGCATCGCGTACATAGTAAAAAAGACCATCGCAGAAGCGTTAGTAGGCGCAGCGGATGGCGTCAGATTAGAGACACCCTAGAGAGCGTATGTAGGATGAGAAGGTTGGCTGGGAGAGTCTGTCTAATAAGCTCCAAATGGTAGATGCTGAACGTTGTCGTTGCTCAATGCTCAATGACGATGAATAAGTGTATTCTATAATTGTATGTCGCTCGTGTAAAAGTTAGTGCAACAGTTAGGGATATAGTGACTATAAATTGTACCTGTTGTACCTACAATACGGTTGATTTCGCCTTTGCTGCGCCTCTTGATTTACCGGCTTAACCCCTGTATTAAGCAACCTTATTGCCCCTAGTTGCCCTCGCTGCCTCGGGAAACCGGCAGATTAGTACAAAGGTACTGCGTCAGTATGGTTGTGTGTAGCAGCAACCGCGCAATGAAATGCAGATCTAATCCAGGCGCTTCGTCATCTTATAGCCACTTTCTGTCCTCGGGCCCTTTTTAAAAATTATTTCTACTTATTACATCTTCCTTTCGACTCTCGACTTTACCTAATTTAACTAATAAATTTTTGCTAGCTGTTAGTAGCTCGATCGCACTGCCGCAATAACATCAGGGAGTTTGTTTTTGTTCTTGTTCTCGGCGAGTAATTGAAGCTGGGGGGGTTTTTTTATAGCACGTCCTGACCCATCGTTCCCGCCACTTTAAGGTTATCAGCCGTTGGTTCCGATCAGTTTAATCATCTTGGCATCTCCTTGGCATCCGGGCCGGTTCCTGGGGTTTAACGTCTCGTCTCATTCTTTGTTTGTTACTTGTCTGTTGCATTACCTACCTCCTATTCATTCACTTCAGTCACACCTTACCTGTCTTTTTTGCTAGCCGCTGGCGTCTGCCTAGTTTCCTTCTTATTATACTATTCATTCTTGGCTCCCATTGTCTTTCGTTTGCTCTTTTCCCCTTCTTTTTTGCATTCCCATAAGATATAGCCAATTCGACGACCCTGAACAACTGGCTTGCTTGGGTTACCCCACGAAAACTCTTGGCTAATACCTAATTCCCCGGGTACCTACTCCAAAATATCTACGATCATCTATCCGAGACCTTTTAGCGGCTGCGGTGCAACCTATTCTGCTAGATCCTTTTAGATCCGAACTATGAAAGCTGTCGCGACCTTTGCGGCCGGCGCATTAGTCGCTTCCGTCGCTCGGGCGCAAGTTGTCCAATGGGATATACACAGGAGGCAAACAGGAACTAAGATCGTGAGGCGACAAGATGGAACAGTTACAGAGGTTATCACCAACGAGAAACTTAGAGGGGGTTATTTTGCCTCTTGTGCAGTTGGCACTCCTCCCCAGAACTTAACATTACAGCTGGATACCGGATCAAGCGACATCTGGGTACCCTCGAGCAGCTCTAGCGTCTGCCAAGAAACTACCGATAATGCAGGCTGCAGTCTGGGATCTTGTAAGTGACTATGTAGCGGACGAACAAATAAGAGATATCCCGAGTTCATCGTAGCTAACTAAACGTTCTTAATATTTCCAGTTGACGAAAGCGATTCTACATCCTTCTCCGTCGTGGGGCAAAATCAATTTAGCATTTCTTATGTCGACGGTAGTCACTCGAAAGGCGATTATATCGCCGAGACGTTTGCAATCGGCGACGCCACCTTGACCAATATGACTATGGGTCTTGGTGTCAATACTGATATTCCGTACGGCCTCGTTGGCGTGGGATATGTAGCGAGCGAGGCTATTGTCGGTAGCACCCGTTCTACTTCTTCTACATATGACAACCTCCCAGTAAAAATGCAGAAGCAGGGGCTTATTGCTACCAATGCGTATAGCTTGTGGTTAAATGATCTAGATGCGAGCAAAGGTAGTATATTGTTCGGCGGAATCGATACCGAGAAGTACCATGGCGATCTTACCCGAATAAACATTTATAAAGACTCGCGTTCTGGAGTTTTTTCGTCCTTTACCGTCGCTCTAACGTCAGTACAAGCGTCATCTCCATCAGGAACCGACTCTCTCTCTTCCGAGTTTCCCATTCCCGTCGTCCTCGACTCTGGCACTACATTCAGTTACTTGCCAACAGACCTAGCAGAACAGATCTGGCAGGAGGTAGGCGCTAATTATTACGATGAAGTGAACCTTCCGCTACTCCCCTGTAGCATGGCAAATAGTCAAGGTCATTTCTCCTTTGGGTTCGGCGGTTCTGGCGGTCCAGTCATCAACGTTACGATGGACGAGCTTGTTCTACCCCTGAATGGTGTTAGCAAGTTTGAAGATGGTCCAAACGAAGGGGAAGTGATCTGTCAATTCGGTATCCAAAATTTCAGCAGCAGCAGCGCAACATTCCTTCTAGGAGATACTTTCCTACGGTCGGCTTACGTGGTCTACGACTTGGTTAACAATGAAGTTGCGATTGCGCCTACAGACTTCAACTCCACCACATCCAACATTGTCGCATTCCCCAGCCTTGGTGCTCAAATTCCTTCGGCTACCGCGGCGCCTAACCAAGCCGAGGTAACCCAGAGCAGCTCTCTCGAGACACCGTCGTACGGTGCCAGCGGCGGCTTTCATGATTCTGCCGCCTCACTACCGCCTCCCTTAGATTGGTCTAGGATAGCCATCATGGGAGCCAGTATGGGTCTAATGATGGTCGGCAGTGGATTTTTCCTCCTTTTCTAAAAGGAGTTCTCATATATTCAGAGCGTCTGGGACCAGATCACAGGGCGCCGCCATCTATTTACCATCGTCTTTATTTATCTATATATATATTAAGCCGAACAAGCACTTTCTAGACAAGACTCAAGGCTGATCATTTGGCATTTGGAGTGTACCTACGGTTCATAATCCGGTCTATAGATCGGTTGGGTTTCATAGGGCACTGGAAAGCAAATAAGGACGGCTGCAATGCTGGGAATTTGGTGATGGATACTGAACTAGACTCAAGTAGACGAGTTTGGGTAACATTGGCAGGAAATAGGAGACTCCATCGTCGCTCCCATATGTACATAGAGGTGGGCAAGATAAAGGTCCTTATTTCTGCTAAAGTCTGTACATATCAATGGTTACCTGTATAGTATCACCGCCTGAGTTAGATAGACTATTGATAATTCAGCTAGATAATAACTGACATATTTTAGAGGCAGCAAACAACAGTTTCAAAGTTGACGATCAAGTTGAGATATAAAGAATACTGATAACAGCTGTGTCAATATTGATACATAGGTAGGTACCTAAGTATTGTACCTGTACCTACTTCATTAGAAACTTTAATTTTCTGGGGGATGTGGAATTGACGCGCTGTGAGTGGTCACTGAGGGGCGGGATTTAGCTCCCCGATAAGTCGTTATCTCTTTCCAATTGCCCCAAAAATTTCTTAGACTTCGCTTTCGTCGGTATCGAGAAATAGAAAATATTAAACACCAGGTCCACGGCAGCCAATATTTACTTCTGTTTCTTTACCCTTTGCCGCCTTAAACTCATTCGTTTCTGCATTCCCTTACGTGTTAAGAATCATGAGGGTGCAGCGTGCCGTGGCTGTCCTCAATGACGGCCGAATTTTAGGGTCGAGATGCAACGCTCGATTTCTCAGTGTGGGCTCCAGAATTCCCGGGTCTCGTTCTCCTGGTCCATTGATCGCTGCCCCATTGCGTGTAGAAGGTAGAAGATACTTCAACCTGACGAAGCCAAGATATGCCGCAGCCGCCTCCGCCGCCGCCAGCGCAGCGTAAGCTTCCCTATACTATCCCGAGCGTGTTATAGGATGATAGTGAGGTGGCCGACTGACTGATGTCCGGTCGACAGGTTGAAGAAAGCTGCCGAGGATGCGGCGAGCCTTACACCTGAAGCCGTCTTCGCCAAGATGAGCCCAGAAGAAAAGAAGCGGTTATCCAGAGTGCGCAACATTGGTATCGCTGTACGTCGCAACCAACTTCTATAAGAAAACGTTAGGCGGGGTTATGCTAAACTTTGGCATAGGCACACATCGACAGCGGAAAGACCACTGCTACCGAACGTGTACTATTCTATACGGGACGAATTAAGGCTATTCACGAAGTGCGAGGTAGAGATGGCGCAGGCGCTAAGATGGACTCTATGGAGCTCGAGCGAGAGAAGGGAATCACCATTCAGTCCGCTGCTACGTTCTGTGACTGGAAGAAAGTAGAGGATGGGGAGGAACATACTTATCACATCAACTTGATCGATACACCAGGACATATTGATTTTACCATCGAGGTCGAACGCGCCCTGAGAGTTCTGGACGGAGCCGTCATGATTCTTTGCGCTGTCAGCGGCGTTCAGTCCCAAACTATTACCGTAGATAGGCAGATGAAGCGATACAACATTCCCCGAATCAGTTTCGTGAACAAGATGGACCGAATGGGTGCCAACCCTTGGAAGGCCGTCGAGCAGATCAACTCCAAGTTAAAGATCCCTGCGGCAGCTATTCAAATACCGATTGGTGCCGAGGACCAGTTCAAGGGAGTTGTCGACCTGATAGGCATGAAAGCCATCTATAGCGAAGGACCCAAGGGAACAATCGTTCGAACTGGTCCTATCCCCGAGGACCTAAAGGAGCTTGCGGAGCAGAAACGCCAGGAACTGATCGAGAAACTGGCAGATGTTGATGACGAGATTGCTGAAATTTTCCTGGAAGAAGGTACCCCGTCCAACGAGCAGATCATGGCCGCCATCCGAAGGGCGACTATCGCTCTGAAGTTCACGCCCGTTATGATGGGTTCTGCTTTGGCCGACAAATCTATCCAACCCCTGCTTGACGCTGTTTGTGACTACCTGCCTAACCCCGCCGACGTTAAGAATGTGGCCTTAGATCGCACCAAGAATGAGGCGGAAACTCAACTGGTCCCCTATAACTCGCTACCGTTTGTTGGTCTAGCTTTCAAGCTCGAAGAAAACAATTATGGCCAGCTCACCTATATCCGAGTCTACCAGGGTACCCTGAAGAAGGGCACTTATCTCTTCAACTCACGGACCGACAAGAAGGTCAGAATTCCCCGAATCGTGCGGATGCATTCAAACGAGATGGAAGATGTCAATGAGATCGGTGCCGGTGAGATTTGTGCCGTATTTGGTGTCGAGTGCGCTTCGGGCGATACGTTCACAGACGGAAACTTGCCATATACCATGTCTTCTATGTTCGTACCCGATGCGGTCATGTCGCTTTCTATTAAGCCCAAGAAAAGCACGGACGCCGACAATTTCAGTAAGGCGATGAACCGATTCCAACGTGAAGACCCTACCTTCAGATTATTTGTCGATGAGGAAAGCGAAGAGACCATCATCTCAGGTATGGGCGAGTTACACTTAGAAATTTACATCGAGCGTCTACGACGAGAATACAAGGTCGACTGTATCACTGGTCAACCCCGAGTGGCATACCGTGAGACCATCAGCAACAGAGCCGATTTCGACTACCTACTAAAGAGACAGACTGGTGGACCTGGTGATTTTGCTCGTGTCGGCGGATGGATCGAACCGAACGAGGAGCCGGAGAAGAACAGCTTCTCCAACCAGGTTGTGGGCGGTGCTATTCCGGACAAGTTCATCTCAGCCTGTGCTAAAGGTTTCGAGGTCGCTTGTGAGAAGGGTCCTCTACTTGGTCACAAGGTTATCGGAGCTCGCATGGTGGTGAACGATGGTGCGACACACGTCACAGATTCTTCTGATTTTGCCTTCAGTCTGGCAGCACAGATGGCATTCCGCAAGACCTTCCCGGAGGCCGGTGGTCAAGTGCTAGAGCCGCTGATGAAGACGACCATTATGGCGCCCAACGAGTTTCAGGGCAACATCCTCATGCTGATGAACAAGCGTAACGCGACTATCATTGACACAGAGATCGGTACCGAGGACTTTACGCTGATTGCAGACTGCAGCTTGAATGCCATGTTCGGCTTCAGCACGCAGCTAAGAGCGGCTACTCAAGGAAAGGGAGAATTTAGCATGGAGTTTTCTCATTATGCGCCTGCGCCGCCGCATCTACAGTACGTTTCATTCCTTACTTTCCAGACTGATATTTTACGGTGTGAATATGATTTGATGGGCTTTGCTAACGATTTACCTACAGGAAGGAGTTGGTCGCCAAGTACGAGAAGGAGCTTGAGGCTAAGAGGACTAAGTAGACTTCGTCTATCGACGGGGTTCCATCTTGGGGTCTGGTGGTTAGTAGATGGCTCTCAAAACACATCCGCACTAGATATACTCGACTATGCTCTTGACTGGGCAAGCAAATGCTTCTACTGTCTTATCATCGACGACTTGGTCGATATAGGGCAAGTACGTCTAGGATTTCGAAGGGGCCTACCCATACCCTGAAGCCACGACTATAATTGGCTATGGGGTGTATAACACAACGTGATAGCATACTTCGATATGCAAATAGAACCTGTATATAAAGTATCTATGCACAACGTCGGAACTGGGGATATGACCGGGCGGCTGGGTACGTTTACATTCGGGCTCGTGCTCGCGCTCATGAAGGATGAAATGATTTCGGTATCTACTTCTAAAGAGCGAGGTTATATAGCTCGGTGTATAGAGTATGGGACCCAGGATATACAAAAAATAAAAACCTCTTCCCTCTAGTTGTTTTTCCATGAAGCTTTGAAATCTTTTTGATTGGTATCATTGAGTCTAGATGATAACTTTTGGTATGTTCTCCTTGATTCCTTTTTCGGCTCCATTTCCTTTTCATATTCCTCACATTTAACATGACAAACGTTCATCGTCACTTACCATATATACTTAGGTACTTGGCCAACCTCACTGAGAAACAGAATCAGTGTGTATCTACAACTTCTTTAGAATATCCTGCACAACCTCCTCCGTCGTAGCCTTTCCGCCTAAGTCGGGCGTCAACAATTTTCCTTCCTCGAGGTTAGCATCGACAGCAGCATAAATCTTGGCTGCGGCAGCCTCCTCATTTAGAAACTCGAGCATGAGCGCAGTGCTGCGTAGAGTAGCGATGGGGTTCGCAATGCCTTTGCCCTCGATGTCGGGCGCACTACCGTGGCACGGCTCACCAATCGCGAAACCCTCGCCTACGTTGGCCGAAGGTACTAATCCTAGGGAGCCGACGAGAGCTGCGGCACCGTCAGATAGGATATCGCCGTACAGGTTTGGTGCGACGATGACGTCGTAGGCTTCGGGCTGGCGGAATAGCTTGTACACCATGCTATCGACGATCTGCTCCTCGATTGTTACAGCGGAAGCAAAGCGCGGTACAGACAGAGCGGCGCGCGATGCGGTGCGGAACAGCCCGTCGGTTTGGGATAGAACATTGGATTTGTGGGTTATGGTTACAAGGGGATGTGAGTGGATGGACGAGGAAGACGAGGAAGAGTCGCGGATCTTCTGGCGGCGCAGAGCGATCTCGCCGGCCATGGTAGCAATACGGCTAGATGCACGCTCTGAAATGCGCTTGATAGCCTCGGCGTACTTTCCGCCCTCGCTGTCCGGGCGCTCAATAGTGCGCTCCTCCTTCACGTACAAGTCTTCGGTGTTCTCGCGCACAATAACCATATCGATGGGCTTAGCGGCGGTGCGAACGCTCTTGACAGGGCGCACGTTGGCGTAAAGGTCGAGCTTCTTGCGCAGAGCGACAATGGGCGAGGAGTAGCCTTTCACGGCCGTAGTAGGCGAGGACACGGCGCCGAAGAGCGCGCCGTCGCATTCATTGCGCAAGACATCGACGGTACGGTCGGGTAGAGCGGCGCCCGTCTTCTCGAAGGTCTCGAATCCGGCGTATAAGTCGGAGAATTCGAATTTGAGCCCGAGCGACGACGGGAGGGCCTCGAGAATCCGACGGCCGGCGGGGATGACTTCGCGGCCAATACCGTCGCCGGGGATGAGACCTGTTTGCGGAGCGATTGCGGGTTAGAATGCGTGTAGTTTATTAATTGGTGGAAATATCGAGGTTTATATTGACGTGTAGTTATTTACTGACCTATTCTAAGCACGCGGGAGGCCATGGTGCAAGTTCAATTGAGTTGCGGATAATGCGTGGTGTTTGGTTAACAAGTCGCAAAGCTAAATGAAGCTTAATGGAGCTTCTGTCTACAAAATTTCTGGTGGTGGGGTCTATACCCTGGCCGGGATCGGAGGGGTTATTTCAGGGGATTACTTGAGACTTGAGTAGGTAGGTAAGGTACATGCCCGATGTACATATTAAAATAGCCCATCGCTTTGGCCTGCAGCAAACGACTTACCTTAGGTTAGGTACCTAACCTACATCAACGATGCACCACGGCAGTTTAGATGCAACATACGGATTACTACTGAATTATTACATCATTGACTATCGGCTGCATGCATGTGTTCCTTTTTTTAAAAGAAAAAAAGAAAAGAAAAGTGTTTCTCTCGCTTGGGCCTCTGCATCTGCGTACCAGACATTTCTCTTTACCTATGTAGCAGCCCAGGGACCATTCGCTAATATTCCGCTGCATGTTATGATACTATAACTAGCACCAATGACACTTAAAGATCTGAGCAGAGAGAGGGGCGTTGTGTTTGCTACCAATGAGGGCTAGACCTGAAACATGCTATTTCTATATCACATGTACGTTTATATTGATTTGTGGTATTGCGGTTTTGAAAGTTGCCCTCGACTTAAAATCAAATCAAAATCAAATCAAATTGATGACTCAACTGATGCATGTAACATAACAGCTTATAAACTCCGTAGCATCCGTACAACTGGATCATTGTAGCCTATAATACGGGATTGCTTTTGTAAGCTGCATAAATTTCGAGCCGTGTCATTTGGTACGACAGTGCGGCTCTATATATTTCTTATTTCTTTGGATATTTGATACCTATTCAATTTCTTGAACCCCGTCTTGGCTTTGGAGCTATTGATCATTAGATTTTATGCATTAGTACTTGTGTACTATCTGTGCACTTGTACCTATTGGGTAGGTTACCTAAGTAACCTGCTAGTTTTTTTTCTTCTGTAAGGAATTCTAGAATTATTCTAATCAGGGGTTGTAAGTGCTTAATATAGGTTGTAGGTAGGTAGGTAGTAAAGTAGGTATCTAATATTAGCTACGTGGTTATATTTATCAGATAAATATATATACTATGTTAAATATCTGTCCTGTAAGAAACTCCTTCAGATCACTTACACGTAACAGTACAATACAATAAATACAATACACGATGCTACGTGAGATGGATCTTACCAGAAAGGAGAAGTTAGGTACGAATATCCGTGCTACATGTAAGTAGTACCACATGTCCACGGGTATGTACGACATTGAAATTGAACCACGATACGACCAGACCAGATGTTCATACGGACCGTACTTTAATAATTTATGTCCCAAATATCCCAAATATCCAAAATAATCCTTCGATTCAAATTCAATGTTCCCGCTCCTCAGGTCGCCTCGGTATGCCGTTAGACACGTTTTGGGAGTTCATGCAAGCCCCTGAACTCCACTTTATTCAACCGTGAAATAATTAACCTCCCCCCCAAAGTACCCTTATGTATCCAAGTACCCCCCTGCCTAACTGGGCAATTTGATTAAAGGAACCATCTCTTGCTGGTCTCTTCTTAGTCCCGCCTAGGCCGTGCCTTATTAGGCCACATGCCACCAAATAATTCCCAAAGCTGTCACTCGACTTCCCTCAGTTGCTCTCTTAAGCTTTCCCTATCTTTCCCTATCTTTCCCCCAGGCAACCAACCTTCTACGATACAACTGTATCCTTTTTTTTACAATTGTCTTTTTTACAATTGTATAATTCCTTCTTCTCTCAAATGCGCATTCAACCACACACTCTTTTTTCTTAGTTGCAGCATTTGCTTAATTCCAAGTTAACCCCATAACTTTAGTCTGCAGCTAAGGTTGTTTCCGTTGAGTTCAACTTTGTATTTGCAGAGTCTCCTATCTTCGAACCCCTTAACGTACTTTATGTATGATTTTGACCCGACCTGGCCTCGCTCGATAGCTTGATCACCTCTGAACCGGACAAGTTATCCAAGTTTATTGCCTTTATCGCTTCTCCGAGGCTCAATTCGTCTCCAAGTTTCTAGGGCCCAGAACAAATAGCCGTTAGACCAAGACCAGAACCAGGCGGAAACCAGGCGAAACAAATAAGCCAGCAGCAAACCAAACCGATCTACCGGCCGACAAAAAAAACTTTAGGGCATGCCATCCATCCTTGCAAACGGCGTCTGCACTTTCCCGCGGTGACAATCGTTGATCCATGATCAGTAACAACTGATCGGCTCCCTGCTTTTGCTCTTTTCTACCATAAAACCTTGGAAGGTCCATCAGTCGCAACCATGTCGGGAGTCAGGAACCTCCGTGCCATGTTCGAACAGAAGGGTGAGAACACCCCTCCAGATCGTGGAAGATCCCCTGGTCCATCCGGTATTTCAGTTGGTATGGCGCCTCTCCTGTATTCAAAACACATGCTTGTTTATAACAACGCCTACTCCAATTCCCTATCCTATATATGCCCAAGTGAATTTTAGTTATTTTTCTGCTCAACCCCACGATTGTATCTCCATCCCTTAACTCCTGGCTTCATTGGCTACGATATCCGCTTGTCATTTGTTAGATTCCAACAGTTTCTTGGTAGTCGTCGCTAACATTGCATTTTCTACTGCTAGGGTCTCCCTCCCCTACTCACTCGCCTCGCCCGCTTTCCAAGGTTCGGACCACTTTTGTAGCAATCGAAAAAGACGGCCGGGTAGGGTTGAGAAGAGAGCCCAGCGGAGATTCGGTCTCCGTATCCAGTCAGAAGCTCAGCGACGAAACCGATGCTAGTACACCACAGCCGGTACCTGAGAAGCCAGAGGTTTTAACCGAAAACATGGCCAAAAATGTTTCGAACTTCAAGACAAATTTGTCTGAAGAGCCTATTCCAGAGTCGCCAATCACAGCCGCTCCTCCTAAGTCTCCTCCAAAATCTCCCCTAAAGAAGGAGAGCCCAAAGAAGAGCCCAAAGGAGAGCCCAAAAGAGAGTCGCAGTCCTGCTCTTGCCCCGAACCCAAATCCGGACAAGGTGACAGATGAGGAGGAGACGAAGACGAAACTACTGCCAGGCAATCCGACAGAGAAGTCAGTATCAAGAGGAAGTAGCGTAGCGCCACCGAGTGGACGTACTAGCGTATCAACAAATGGCAGCAGGACAAAGATCGCAACCGCTACAAAGCCTGCCCCCAAAGCTGTTTCGACCGCAACCAAATCTGTTTCTAAGGCTCCTAAATCGCCCAATACTCTCAAGCCGACCAGCAGCACTACGAAGTCGTCTTCCAGCATCCCGAGCTTAGCTCCGCAAAAGAAATCGACTCCTGCTTCGTCCAGAGAGCGTGATGTCCCGAAAAAGGCGGCCACTACAACAACCACAAAGCCAGTAGCCACTTCTAGCAAGAAACCAACACCCATTGATCTTCCTCCTTCTGGAGCCGGAGTTGTAAAGCCGAAGGCTAAGTCGCCTACCCGGCCAATCAAGTTACCTTCATCCATCACAGCGCCCACTGCGTCTTCCGCTTCGAAGCTCGGAAACGGCACCGCAGCTCATCCTCCCAGACAATCTCTCTCACGAGCTTCCGGTAACGTGAGCTCTACTGCACATAGGTCGCCTAGCAGGCAAAGCCTATCTGGTGTGAGTACTACCTCGACTGCCAAGGGGTTGAAACGCGGGAATTCGGCTACTGGTCGAGCACGTCCAAGTCTTGGGCTCCCTCCGAAACCGGTGTCTAGGGATCACCCAATTATCAAAAGGGATGGTCACGTCGACGAAAGTTTTCTCGAGCGGATGATGCGACCGACGAAAAGCAGTTCTAGCAAGACCGCGGAAAAGGTGCCGGTAACACCGCCACGAAAGCAGAGCACACCATCAAGTGTTGTTCAGAGGAAGATCGAGGGGAGTGCAAAGAAATCGGTAGCCAGGGCACAATCTGCAACGAATAGGGCTAAAGCAGCAGTAGACCAAGCAAAGCCTACCGGCAAGAAATCCCCGACGGCAAAGGAGGTTGCTCCGGTTGTCGCCCAGGCTGAGACGGCAGAAGTAGCTATTGAGACTGCCAAGGTCTCGACGGATACTTTCGTTGAGGAAAGCAGTGTTTCCGCGGAAAAGTCCCCGGAGCAAGCGGTGGTGGTTCCCGCGGTCGCCGAAGACGCAGAGAAGGTTGAAGATATCGAGGATTTGGTTCACGAGGCATTAGAGCCTGCCGCTGAGATTTACGCAGCTAACAGTGAAGTCGAGGGCGCGCAAGATGAGCAGTCCATATCCGAAGGCACCGATGAGGTCGTTCTTCAGAGCGAGGCCGCTAGCACCACCGAAGAGGTGAAGGCTGAGGAATCCAAGGTGGAAGCTATCTAGGTACACAAGGCCTAATAATAGATACTATCGCAGGATACCTAAGGAACTGGCCGTTGTTCTGACTAGCTAGTTGTATTAACGTGTCAGAAGAGGCAGAAAAAAAGGTCCAAAATTTGTTTGTATTCGGCGAGGCGCAGATGATACCTTTTTTCTCTTAAGTCCATTGGAAGCATATGGGGATTCGTTTCTGTTCCGTTCCTTGGCGGTGCATGCGGCATTGCTGAGGAGTTAGGTGATAGGTGATAGGTAGTGAAAATACCTACAGCATACCTAGACTTGTCTTATGAGTATTATGTGTATTCATCGTAAAGTAGGTAGAAAATAAGGGAGTTGGTTAGAGTAACTAGGGAAAGTAATAAAAAAACAATTATATCCAGTCCCAGCTATAGCATCGGAGCAAGCAGGCAAGCTTAATAGAGATAGTTATGTCTTCCTCATGGTGGTTGGTAAGGTTGTGGGAGTAATAGTGAACCTAATATATCCTGCATTCACGATTAGAATCTTATGCTCCTATACGTGAACTTATAAGACGTGTGTCATCAGATATTTTATGATATGCGAGTAGATATAGTACAATCAAGTACACAGGCAAGCAGCCGATGCCTATGTTCCCTTGCTTTATATACATGAAGTCTTTCTGCTACCCCCTGTCTGCTTGTTCGTTTTATATTTCGTCTACAGAACGTTGGCCATCATATAACTCTAGAATTCGAGGCCACGCGTGTAGCATACGAGACACAAGATGAGGGTGTCGGCTCATAGTCTCATCCCCTCATCCCATTCTTTAACACGACTCGTTCTGTCGATTCATCTCGTTCTTGGTACTTCCTACCAACTTCCCCACCCAGAATGCGCAAACAGCGGCGATGCTACTCCCGCCAACCACAAGCAGACAGCCCTAGGAGCGTCTAAACGAACCAGATGAGGCGGTAGATCACGGGCCTACCCGGCACAGCAACAAACCTCCAACCTTGCGCTCGACGGCCTCGCGGATATCCATGGTGCCCAGACTCGTAGTCAGGATAATGGTCTCGCCGATATTCAAGGCCCGATGAGGATGCGAATCGAAACCCCGCGCGAGGCGCTCCAACTTAGCCAACTTAGCGGTAACGGGCCTCTTGGGCGTAGTTATAGGGCTGATCGATCCCATAACGGGCTCGCCGCCCGCAGTAGCATTGTACTTGAGACCGACCCATAGGCGCTGGCGGGCGACGTTGGCGTCGGTCAAGGGCGCGGGCTCAAAGGTCGAGATGGTAGCGGGATCGGGGGGTTGAGTGCCGCCGCGGGTGACGAAGGAGAGGTAGCCGCCTCGGTATAGGGCTATGGCTAGGGAGAGGTTGTATTTTGTGTGCGGGACGGAGGTTAGGCCTAGACGGGCTCGCGACGCATTTTGTAGGTGCGAGCACATGTTGACTATATTTACGACACCCATCTTGGGAGATTGTGCGGTGCGGTGCGATGCCCTGCCGGGCTTCTCGGTTCGGACTCGACAGGGAGGACGAGATGAGATGGATGCGGAATATTATGGTGCCTCGGTGGATTGGCTAGCCCGTCTCTGCGCTGGTGAGATATTATGACGGCGAGGATCTTGTAGATTGGTCAATGTGTGAACGAGTGAAGCTATCACCAAATCATTCCTTCAATGGAACCGAAAAAAAAGTGTGGATCCCGCTCAATCAATTGAAAATCTAGCGGATAATTCCGGGGCCGATACATCCTATCTGTTTATCGATAGGCTTAGCAACTTTGCGTCCTTCTATTGGTTATCAGTATTACCCCGCCATCTCAGCTTCGAGGAAGGAGAGTGGGCAGCTAAGCGCCGAACAACTTCCCATTCTGCAACATCTCGACTATGTACCAGTGCCGTCGTCCCTTGATGCAGGGTCGGAAAGGGCTATGGTAAATAAGGTCGTACCACTTATAGGCACATACAGGCTAAGGTTACGTATTATTTTAGAAATGGCGTCCGTAGTACATAGAAGTGATCGTCATTTGGTGGTGAGCTCCTTGGAGAAGCAAGTTCTACTCTCCAACTTTTTTTTTTATTCCTTTTTCCTCTCCACCCAAGCGAATTTGAAGCTATCGTCAGTTCTGATACAGACTTTCTTAAACAAAAGTAGCACTAACGAGGCTGGCCTCGACTATTTTTCTGTTTTCTATTTATAACCATCATTAATCATCTCCCTCACTTCCTTAGTTTCATTCTTAAGGCCGGCTTGTGTGTGCTCAAGATGGCAGTTCGGCCTGGTGAAGAGAATGTCGCGACCCTGTAAGTGCCCAAGTAGTACCAACAGTTTTATTATTCATAATAGCTCAACAAACTTCTTTTTCATAGCTTCGGAGACGTTCACTATTTCTACGGACCTCCCGAAGCGAAGCCGCCACATCATCGCTTTGACAAAGGCTCTTACGTGTACCTGTTTGAGAATGCGAATGACCGAAGAGCGCGGATTGAAGTCGCAAACCAGCCAGGCACAGATGACCAAGATGCTTTTGACGGATGTAAGAATGTTTTCAAGGCAGTATTCTCTCTGTCATGTCTGGTATGACCTAACTCTCCCTGCGATGTAGATCTAGATAGAACGAGGGTCCGGTATTCATATAAGCAACAATGTCTCGTAAACATCTTAGTCGAGGGTGTAGCCGGTGCGCCGATAGACCAGAATCAGTGGCATCTTCCAACATACGATCCTCGAAATGAGAATAAATACCACTACAAGCTCCATTCTCTCGATATATATTTCTGGACTCATGGCGATGCCCTACAGTTCGTCAATGGTGTACGACGAGTCCTACCCGCATCTCAGGTAGAGGTTGCAGATGAGCCTGGTCCACCACCGCACCCGTATAGCCAGTTTCAAGACACAAATCCTCTAGTCCAGAAGCTAGAAAATGTTGCCATCTCAGATCCCAAGTATTCGAGCCCCAAACCAGCACCTCAAGGTATACCTACTTTCGCGCCTCCCCCAACCTCGGCAGCGACAGACGATAGTAAGAATACCTCACCTCAAAGCTTTGCACCTATAGCGTACAATCCCGCCGCACCAGCAGCTGCAGAACAGAGGATACACCGGGAAAAGACACCTCCGCCCGAGGATGACGGACACGATCCTCTCGCGGCTGCCGTAGCTCTTGATCACATTCCCCCCTATACTCCTGGGTACGGAGCGACGAACTTCTCTGCTCCGCCGGGTGGTCCCGGTCTTCCCGGCCCTCCGCAGGTGCATCCCGGCCTAGCAAGTCCTGGTCTAGTTAGCCCCGGTCTAGTCAGTCCAGGTTTGCCAACACCCGGCATTGCGAGTCCGGGCTTCCCACCGACTCAATTCGGACACCTGCAACGTTCGGCTACGGTCCCGGTCTCCGGTCTGGCATCGCCCGGTCTCGTGAGCCCATACGGTGCCAACTTCCCTGGATCGCCCGGGTTTGCACCACCGCCACCACCACAGAGCACACAGCACCACCCGACTCCACCACCCGTTCAGAGCCCTGGCCTACCACCACCGCCCCCAGGTGGATATTCGCATTATAGCTACAGCAATGCGCAGCAAGCACCGGGGAGTGTGGATTATAGTATCCACCAGCAACTATACCGGCCAACCGAACAAGAGCACGCGTCTAAATACGAAAAATACAAACCCAAGGTCGAGGGTCAGAGCAGGCTAGGCCAAAATGCGGAGCGGTTGGAGAAAGGTGTCACGGGGATGTTAAAGAAGTTCGAAAAGAGATTTGGTTGAATATTCGCAGACATATTTTTGACTCTCTTACTTTTTGATATAGGCATGGGTTAGGTTACAATATACTATAATATTAGGAAATTCGCCTATTAGAATTGCAGTGCTAGTATGCCTAGGCCCTAGGGAGAGCTGGCCCGGAAGATGAAACATAACTAAATTTGTACCGAAATTTTCATATGCAAATATTATGGTCCTATTGTAAATATTAGCATCGAGCGCATCTGAGAGGCCCCGGCTTAAAACGCAGTGACGCGGCTTCGACATGCAGGTTTACCTTCATATTACGGTTCAGATAATAAACGAGAGGCCTACTATGTATATATTCATAAACATGCCAAAAGATGGGGTTGGTTTAATAGTCATGATGAATGGACATGTAATGGATGCTCAGCTCTCTTAATACGTGCTACAAATGAGGGGACCGGAGACGAATTCCCTTTTTTGGACGTAGGACTTTGCACCCACGAGCCTATCTATGTAAAAGATGATAGCTACTCGTTTGCCAGTTTGCCAACGAGGATGCGCTGTACCTGATGTATGTCTCACCGCCCAGCCAACCAGCTGAAGTGTAGTGTATTACCGTTCCCGATCTTCCGGCCGATAATAGCAAGATCGAAGACATTGTCTAACATGCCATGCCATGCCATGCGCCGTAGGCAAGGAGGCTCGTGTATGTATGTCTCGTAATGCTACGTAGCTATCTGAGACTTTTTTTTTTTTTTTTATAACATTAGCTTGAACAACGCCAAGGAGGGAATCGCGAAGTAAGGGATTCCGATCTGAAATTCTATCGGACTGATACCGTATGTAGTGATAATGGGATCTTGCCTTTCCGGCAGTCACTGCCACTGCCACGACCCGAATTCCCTAACTTATGAGGTATGTAGGCATCATGCAACTTTGCCAAGATTGGACCGGGGGGAGACCATGGCGGCGTTTCGCAGATACTACCTTAGCGCAGGGAATTTTCCCAGGGACCTGGCAGCCCTAGCGCAATGGACCGGGGACGGGGATTCACAGGCGTGACAAGGGCACGGCTCGAGTACATTAGGTAGGTACCTAGGTAGTCGAGAGAGGTACGGATCAACAAGGCGCAGTGGAAATTCACTGAATCCACAGCCACGTATAGCCTGTATGGCACGTTTTACATAGTGTAATAGGGCTAGTAAATGATTTCATTAACATTGACCAGGAAGGAGAGTATCCGCACAGATAAGGGATGACGTAGCCATGCGAAAAGTGAACGAGAAGAATTTTTCAACGGGATTCTTTTTTCGAAGTTGTAATGTTTTGGCGCCCAGCAGGCTAAGCACCTAAAGTACCTAAGGTACAATACCTAACCTACTATTCTGTACCTATTAGAATGGAAGTTTGAGGCAGCCCGCATAATAGGTACGCGGACCAGACGAACCAGGCGAATCAGCCGAAGCGATGACGGCCGAGGCGTCGTATACATACTTTTCGTATCGAGAAACGTTTCGTCAGGATTGCACAAGGTCAGCTTATTATTGCCGCCAAAAAGAATTGCCGTTGAGAACTTTACACACTTACATGCGATGCTGCAGATATCGCCGATTATGATTATACATAATAATAGATTCTCTTATACTACTAAATCAATCGTTACGTCGGCGTCCGTTCGTCTTCTTACATCTAGAATTACCGAGAACTAGATCGGGCGATCGAATCACGTAACATCAAGGTTGACGGGTTGGCTCGTGGACTACGGGCTGGGGAACCCAGTCTGAACTCTGAAGGATTCAAAGTAGAACCAGCCTCAACGGGGGCTGACAAAGTCACGGCACGGCGGCGGACTTTTCGATATTTTGCCTATGTAGTCCTTGTTTCGCTATTTAGCTGATATCGTGCAACAACTTAAGCTCTGTAAGCTCTGTAAACAATCCTAGTTGCACTTGAGATGTGAAGACAAATGGATGAATAAAAATAACGATAGGTAACTCGGCAAGTGTTTAAAAGACTACCTAAGGTTAGACAGATCAAGACATGTTAAGTGCAACCAACCAAGCGCTTACCGGGACTTCGGTGTGGTAAACTAATCTCATTCTATTAGTCGGAAACGCTTGAATGGATTCAATAGAAGGGTCGAGGCTCTGCCATCAAAACACTACATACGGTATATACATGCCGACCCTTGCCACGCTTGTGCCTACCTTATGCCTACCTCTTCTACACTTACATACTGCCTACTTTGGTGCATGTATCAACACTAATTATATTGGCAGTAAAGGTACTGCCTTAGGTGAGATAGTTAGATGTATTAGTGTAACTCTTACCGTGTGTGTGTACCGCAGCTGCCGGGTCTTTAGACTGCTGTAACCTAAACCATGTATTGTACTTCGTTTTGTCCTTCCCCCCCACCCCGCCAGCTTCTTGTATCTTGCGACTTTCCCGTCCTCTTCTTTTCATCTCCATCTTCATCTCCGTTGCTATCTAGGTACCTAGGCATATACCTAGTTTACCATTTTCTTCCTCGTGGTCGGTTCACAGCTCAATCTACGACTCCTAGTCCTACTAGTCCTACGTCCTACTGGTCTAATACCATCCTACCCCATCGGACTGTTTTACTACTATTTCATACCCACTATATTGCCGGCGCTTAAGCTCGAATCGCATACCAAACCCGAAGACTATTACTCTTCTGTCCGTCTCAACCGAGCTTGGATTGAAGACTACATAGACCGACCTCTTCGTAAACTCGCACAACATAGGAAACATCTATTGATTCTATTCTCCCTAGACTTGGCGTTATTGGACTAATCTTGCGAAATTGGTCATTTCTATTCACAAGACCAGTCTGCCACAACCAGTGCTATCCTCGCAATATTCGTGCCTAATTCTCGCCAACCTTGCCGCTATCTTCCCCATCCGTGCTCACCTGCACCACTCCCGAACAAGATTGGCTCTTTTGAATTACCGTCGACACGATCGATTAGCTTCCCGTTATTAACTAGTTGCGGCTTCTTGCCGTTCTCAAAGCGCACGGCGCTCGTCCTAAAATAATCTTGGTTTTGCAGGTTGCCGACTTCACGAGATCGGGTGCGTCCCGACGGCGTCGCAAATCATCACACTATAGTCATTCGTTTATACTTCACAATGCTGCTTCCATATCGAATTCCCCTCCCCCTTCGATCCGGTGCTAGCAAATTAGTGTCTCGAGATCCTGGGGGTTCGGGGGGTCCTGGTGATCAGGGACATCCGCCATCAAACACCATATTTGTGGTAAGTTATTATATACCGGCCTAGCTTGCTTCGATCCGTCTTCTTAACCACATCTTTGCTGTAGATCATTGGTATCCTAGGTGGTATATTGTTGCTTGTTATTTTGTCCTTCTGTTTTTTCCGCTACAGGACGAAATTCGGTTTCGGGCAGGCGAAACGAGGCAAGTACCAGCAAACGGCCGACTCCGAGTCTACTGAGACATCCGATCGGAATAGAAGGCGACGAGATGGTCACTCAACTTCTACCCTCTCGGTTTCGCAAACGAATCGAAACAGCACGGTGTCACAAGTAGATAGGAACACGTCTATCCGATCCATCATAACTCTTCCCGCGTATAAGCAGAAAGCGAACGAAAACGAGCAGGTCATTGGCCGCGAAGGGGAGCGCGACGGTGTTGATGTTGTAGTAGAATATCCTACCGCCGAGGATCTAGAGAGTATGCGGGACGAAGAGATGGAGACGCTATTTCAGATCCGATTGGCAAGAAGACAGGAACGCGCCGAACGGGAAGAGCGGCGTCGCTTAACACAAGAGGCGAGGGCCCGCGGGGACACTAGGGCATTAGATGACTTAGCAGCCCAGAGACGAGCCGCACGTGATACCAGCGCTGTGGATGACTTACGCGATGCGTACGGGCAGATTAAGGAAAAGCGACAACGTGCCGTTTCTAGTGTTAGCTACCATGAGCTTGGTGTAGCGCAACTCAACGGTACGAGAGTTCGCACAAGTAGTCATGGGAGCGAAGGCATAGGATTGTTATCAGATGCGGCTAGCATTGCCCTATCCACACGCTCACCTTCGGGTCTGTCCCATCGTCGAGATCGTAGCGCCAGCTCTGTTCTCAGTCTCGATAGCGATTTTCCATCTCCAGGGCTAAGGTCTAACACGTCCACACCACGGATAGGAAGTAATCATACTCGAGCCGGATCAAGCCCGGAAATAATCAGCGAGGCGGATCTAGGCGATGTCGAAATGCCTCCACCGGATTATGAGGACGTCAGCTTGGACGATGTAAGATCGGGGGCTGCGACACCTATCTTTAATGAGCCCCCACCTAACTACACGGACCCAGCGCGTGGTCACGAGCGACGGTTAAGCGCACAGACTGCAGACATGATGACGGATGGCGGAGATCTCTCGACAACAGACGGTGCGCGTGATACAGCTTCGACCAGGAGATCCTCAAGGGGAATTGGAGGTGCTCCGCAGTTGCCCAGCTTGCGGATTGGGAGATTACCACGGATTGTAATCGAACCATCGACAGCACATCCCAACGACTCTCATCGCTAAACATCTATTCCACATTATTTCCACCTCGTAAATTGGAGATAGTTAGCAGCAGCATACACGCCCGCGGCTTGTGCGGGGACAACAATAACTCGGCACATAATATAAGTTGTCTCAAAAGATAATATACGATCAAAACTATAACCCATATTAGTAATTTGTTGTTATTTAGCAGCCAGACATGTATTTGAGCAACTTTGGAAGTTAGCGTAGCACGACACGAGACGAATTCTGTATCATTACTTGCAAGGCGTCTTGGTGCAAAGTTCATTTTGGAACTAAGAGCGAGAGGTTGGAAGAGGAAGCACCATCTTCGGCCTCGAAGGGTATAACTTGGAATATGGCTGATATATATTGGCTATTGGGCTATTTATTGTAGTTCGACTTCGCGTTTCAGACGCTTCTTGTCCGTTCATATTCGATCCTGATTTAGAATCCCGAAGTTATGAGATCATTGTCAGTCCACGGAATTAGCCCCTAGGGACTTTTATACGTTATGGCCTAAAGTCCTTTGTATGTCGGTTTTCTGCTGCCTTAGTGCTTATATGTAACGACAAAAACTAGCATGATCAAATAAGTAGGTTCCGGTACGGGGCGAGTCAACCGCTTGTCGGAAGGGCTTACCGACGTTGTAGTTTTATTGGATATATCTTAGCAGTGCCTTTTACAAGTTAACTAACCTAGTAGAATAGACCACCAGACCTATCTATATATACCTAAACTCCTATTTATAGACTACAGGTATTATATACAGTATATCTACCTAGGGGTTCATGGAATTTAACCTCGCTTAAATAGGCCATATCCCAATCAAGCAAGTGGTCGAAAGAGAAAGGCGGCATCGTATTGCTAACGTATGGGGATGCCACCTCCGGTAGGAAAGTAGAAAAACATTCGGTTACGACTTTCACCGATTAATAATCAACCGCGGACCCCAGACTTCATCCCCGGATTTACATCAATGTGCCTTATCCTCGCATATTATCATTATTTTTCTAGTTTTGGTTCCGCGGGTTAGGATCGGTAACCCCAAGCCGGCGGTGAGGAGAATCCCTGGATGGAGAATCCCTGGATAAATAGGGTTAAAATCGTGGATGGCCGCAACGTAGTAGGAGAGAAAGGATAAAGCTTGGAGCCGAAAACTACTAGTTATGAAAAAAGAAAAGGGCAGCGAAAACGATAGTAACCCGGAGTCGCAGATCGGGACGGAGATCTTTGAGGGCTCCGTGGACCGTACGGAAGATGCGGATGGGAGGTCCCCTCAAGCGACGGCGATGCCGCTGGCGGAGCTGAAGACTCCTGATGTTCCGGAGTAAGTATTTTTTGGAGTTTCTATCATACATGTCTTCTTTATTATAAGCCGGTCTGGAAATTAGATCCAGCCCCTTGGCCTTCTCTTATACCTAGGTACCCCAGAACACTCTCCAATACACACACGACTTCCCACTCAGACTTACATCTACTAACCTTACATTACCAGCGGCGGCCTAGTAGCATGGCTCCAAGTCCTCGGGGCCTTCGTCATCATGCTCGCGAGCTGGGGCCTCATCAACTCGTTCGGCGTGTACCAGACGTACTACGAGACCGATCTCCTCCGATCTAGCACGTCCTCTGACATCAGCTGGATCGGCTCCTTGCAAGGTGCCCTCCTCAATATGGGCGGCTTGGTATCCGGCCCGCTGTTCGACGCGGGCTACTTCCGCGCGCTGACCATCTCGGGCTCGGTCCTCGTTGTGCTTGGCTTGTTCATGACGTCCTTGTGTAGGACGTACTGGCAGGTCTTGCTGGCGCAGGGCGTTGCGGTGGGGATTGGGTGCGGGCTGTTGTTTCTCCCGTCTGCGGCGATATTGAGCCAGTATTTTGCACGGAGACGCGCGCTGGCGCTGGGTTTGCAGTCTTCGGGCTCGCCAATTGGGGGTATTGTCTTTTCGATCCTGTTTAGTAGGTTACAGCCGCGGATTGGGTTTGGATGGGCGACGCGCGTGTTGGCGTTTATTCTGCTGGGGCTGCTTGTCGTGCCGCTGGTTTGTAGTACGTGCTCTTGAGTATTCTTCCTCGTTCTCTCCCCCCTGTTTAGCTTGTCTGTTGACTTTCATCACTACAGTGCGCCCAAGTGTCGCGCCACCTCAACATAAGCGTGCCTTCTTCGACCGCGACGCTATACGGGATGTGCCGTTCATGAGCTTCGCGATTTCGGCCCTGCCGTCGTTTATGGGAATGTTCGTGCCGTTTTTCTATTTGCAGCTGTTCGCGTTACGGCACGGAATCGCGAGCGCCGACCTGGCCGCGTATCTGGTCACTTTGCTTAACGCCGGCAGCGTCTTTGGGCGTATCTTGCCGAATTTCGTTGCCGACTACTTGGGTTCGATGAACATGCTAGCCGCAACGACACTCAGCGCTGGTATCCTTGCCTTCAGCTGGCTCGGCGTGCATGATCTCGGAGGAACGATTACGTTCGCGGTACTCTTTGGATTTTTCAACGGGGGAGTTGCAAGTTTGCCTCCTAGTGCTATTGTGACCCTTACGCCGGATCTGGGCCGCCTAGGTACCCGTATGGGCATGTTGTTCGCGTTCATCGGAGTAGCAGTGTTGGTGGGAACGCCAATCGCGGGTGCGATATTGAAAGATGTGAATGATGACGGAGCTTGGAGGGGACTGATTGCGTATTGTGCTGCGACGGTGTTTATAGGGGGGCTCGGGTTTGTGGGTACACAGTTCTTGCATTTGAGGAGAGTGAGAAGTACGAAGGTATGATTTGGAAGGTTGTGCTGCGTAGCTGAGGTATGGAAGAATAGGGGTAAATTATTGTCGAACATATAAGCCCTGGTTGCGTGCTCGCAACTGGCGGCGTCGCCTTTTGCGACAATTATCTTATCACGAATATATAAATACTATGACATAGGTACTCAAATTTTGACTTATGATAGGATGATTTCATTGACTAAGGCATGGGAGCTGCGACTGTATATTATTATAGGTGTCGAAGGCAGAAGAGTAGTCGAGTTTTAGGAGTATGTTCAATAATTTGTTTTGTTTTAATTTAGGTGATTTGTTAAATCATTCTAGGTGATGAGAATTACATTATCACGCATTTAGTAGGCAAACCGCAAAGGCCTTCACTCTGCTTCTTTTCTTTCTTTCCCTCTGCCTGTGTGGCAGTCGCAGTTGACGTCTCTTTATCCTTGCTGTCATGTAGTCACGCCGATCCGGAAGCGAACTTGGCGACGGTCTTGTAGAACTCGGCACCCTGGATTTCAGCGATGGAGATTTCCTTCTCGCTAGGCTGGCGCGAGCCGTCACCTGAAGCGAAGGTGCCGGCACCCCAAGGGCCACCACCGTGGACCTCGGAAAGGTCAGTCATAGTGTCGAAGGCCTTCGCGTAGCCGAATGGGACGTAGATAATGCCGTGGTGGGCAAAGGTGGACATAGCCGCTAGAGCAGTCGACTCTTGACCACCGCCTAGAGAAGCTGTCGAGATGAAGAGACCGGCTACCTTGCCGTGGAAAGCACCGGTCTGCCACTGCTTTCCGGTCTGGTCCCACCATATGCGCCATTGCGCGGGAAAGTTTCCGTAGCGTGTCGGGATGCCGAGCAAGAAGCCGTCGTACGACACGAGAGTCGCCGGATCCGACAGGACCGGGACATCGGCAGCTGGGCCGGGAGCATGCATTTTGGCTAGAACCTCATTGGGGAGGGTCTCGGGAATCCTATAGTTGTCAATTAGCATATGTTAGGAGAGGGATACGTGAAGAGCGGTGCCTACTGGAAGAGATCGGCAGTACCGCCAGCCTTCTCGATGCCGCGCTTCTCAGCTTCGGCTAGTTGGCGGACATGGCCGTAGGTGGAGTACTGTAATAAGACGCATGTCAGTCGCTGTAGTTTAAAAGGCCACGAGTCGAGGTTGAGAGGATATTGGGAAGTTTGGTAGTTCGGCTTAGTCAAGTAACGAATCATGACCAGTCTGAGTTTTTGAATTTCTGATATGATCCAACATCCAAATCCTTTTTTCTCCCCTTTACTCAATCACGCGAATTCCGTAGGTAGGGACATGTGAAGAAAAAGACTTACGTAGACGATGGCGATCTTGGGTGCCATTGCGAATAAATGAAATTAGGGGTATCTAGTTGCTGTGATTTATAAAGAAAAAAGATTAAAACTTTGAGATTTATAAAGATACTTGAATATTATTGTATTCGTTGATGTGAAGTTGTACAGAATAAGGTCATTCTCAACGACGGCACCTCATCGACTTTATACTCATATTTACATCAGACAACATCCACTAGCGGGCACTGTTGATGGAGAGAAGTGGGGATAGCGTGCTTTACTTTTGCTTATTTTTCTTTATCATCCATTAATAATAAGGCTCCATGGAAGACACCTTGTAGGGTAGGAAGTATGTAGGTACATATATGTCGCAACTGAGTCGATCCTATTCGGCAGTACACAAGCGGTTTGAAGCTTGATCCAGCCTCTCTTCTGTCTTACTCACTTCTCTCTCTCTCATTCTTCTACATACATATGTAAGTCTACCCCAGTAACAACTGTCACAATCTCCACTCCTCCAACGGCATAGCTTAATAGTAGAGTCGCAATGACGCCGCATCTCAAACCAACTACCAACTAATAGCTTGTACATATTCAGCCACCAAGGTAGCTATCTCTCTTCATGTTTAATACATATTAGTAATGTAACCTAATTTTGATGTAATCGTACTTTATTGATTCGTAAGTACTTTAGACGTAGGTTAGATACCTAAGGTACCTTGTCTATGTTGGGCAGATAGTATTCCATCAGGCGGGGATAAACTAATAATTAAGGGGAATAGACTAACAGGTTTTTATACGAACCACCCAAGCAGATGTCTACATACAATGACTTATTACTAACACACATCTTAGTACGAAGTACATACATAGGTAGTTGAGCTTGTTGATGTATGTATGCATAATGTCTTGCGGCTCCAACCGCGGCTCAGTGGATCAACCCCGTACAGATTCGAGTTAGACTGGTATATTTTTTCTTTTATTGTCCAATCCGGATGATAAACTCATTTTGGGTGCTGATTAATGGCTTACACCCGCTCGCGTAATTCTTATGCGATTTTCAGATCGGACGGTCCCAGTATTCAAGGATCTTTCTATGGATCTTATCGTATCGTTTCGCTCCGCATCGTGGCCCAACTAAGCGGGGAATTAACATGAAACGAAATTATGGGTTGGAAAAACGTGTTATGTATTATGTTTTGTCGTTCTTGACAAAAGAAATGCCAACTTGAGGCCATTTATTAAGTCAGCGTCATCTAAGCGTCACGTCTTCATCACATGTGTAATGTTTTTAACCTTTGCTAGGAACCCAGCCATCTTGAAGCCCATCGTTCAATGCTACCTTGACGTACATTTGTGCCTGACTAAATTTCAACCGCCTTAAAGCCTAAAGCTGGACTTTTTCTTTTTCTCGTCTACGCTTCTCCTTACTTCACTCCCTACACTTAACAATACTATCTAGAGCCGATTTGTTCTAATCCTCAGGTTATAGAGGTCGATTTGAAAATGTTCATAAGCTGAGAATCCGCTCTCCTTGTCATACGGCATGATTTCCGCATCCCGCGGGAATATGTCAATCTAAGGTCGTATTGATGCAGTACTGTTATCTGGCATGTTAGATTACGGCAATGTCGTCGCAGTGCAGATAGACAGCTTCCCCTTGTTCCCACCCTCTTTCTTCCTACCCGGTACCAGGTAGGTTACAGCCCGGAAGCCGACCGAATGCCAAATGTAGCGAGTCGGTAACGAGGATCCATGGAGATATATTCCCCCCAGATGTGTTAAGCATTATAATTCCATATACTCAAGTGCCTTTCGATTACGAGGGTAGTTACTATCTAGTTACCTGATATCAAAGAGATGGTTACGTTGTGGCATTAACTTCAGAGAATTGTTAGAAATTCAGGTTATTATCCAAGTATATGGAATAACTAATACCAAATTCGAGGTTTCTTTACTCCAAATTGCCCGCTAGATATGAACCCAGTTTCTCTAATGCTTGGCGTAGTATCTGCGTCTCGTTCACGTATCCGATGCGGACAAACCCATCAAAGGATGAAGTCTGACCATATGCAAAACAGCGAGACCCAGGTAGAAACATAACTTTGGTTTTATCTAGAACATCCTTACAGAAGGCTTCATCATCCACCGGAGCCCCTTTCTTGTCCCTGAACTGTACGAAAGCTGTGGTTCCTGCTGTCGGTTTCACCCAGGAGCATACGTTCGAGTGGTCTTGGATGAATTGCTCTAGTAGCTGTATATTTCTCTTAGCTAAAGAAATGTTTCGCTCTAAGAGTTGCGGCCGCACGGAAGCACTCAGAGCGTACCGTGCCACCTGGTCGTCGAGCTGTGACACACTGATAGTGGTGTAATCGCGAGCGGACGCGATGGTTTCGATGATGGAAGCATCCAGCGATGCCACCCAACCTACTCGAATACCTGCCAGAGCCCACACCTTAGACATGGAACTGGTAACTACGACCTTAGGATAACCCAAGGCTAGTGCCGATGGTGGGATATTTCCCGGTTCGAGGCTGTGGAACAGTGGTCTATAAACTTCGTCTGAGAACACGGTGATGCCGTGTCTTCGCGCAAGGTCGATTATCTTAGCCAAGACCTCTTTTGGAATTGTCGCTCCCGTTGGGTTATTAGGATTATTAATGACGATCATCTAGAATGGTAAGATGACTGAAGATAATAGACATAGCTGTTGGCTTGAAATAGATGATATACCTTCGTATTGTCCCTAATTAAGGTGTCGAGCTCAGCGACATCGGGAATATTCCTGTTCTCCGGTCTGAGCTTCCATAGGGAAACCTCAGCCCCTAAAGACTCGGGGAGAGAGTACAGCTGTTGATAAGTTGGGAAGACGCAAATCACATGGTCTCCTGGCCCGACGAGGCTGTAGAATACTAAGTGGTTGGCGGATATGGCTCCCTGTGTGACGATAACGTTCTCGGTAGACAGAGGAGCAACTGTCGTCTTCGTATCAATATCTTCGTTATATGTGGCTATGATATTCCGCCGCAGCTCGTCAGATCCTCGGATCGGACCGTACGTCATAGGCTTAGAGAAATCGATCAGCGGATGAGCGTCGCCTTGTTGATCACTATTGAATTGTACAAGTTGATCGATCGATATAGACGAGCAGCACGTTTCGGCGATGTTCAGTACCCCTGGCGTATTCTCATACCTGTTCATCCACTCCTCTACCTCGAACGTTGGGATTTTCACCATCTTGATGTTTCTATGAGAATGATTTAAGTTTCCACGTGTAAAGCGGCATTCTGGGATTTTAACCTTTAATAAAGCCTTTCGAGTAGATGGTTTGATTTTATTAAAGAGTGCGATCTTAGGTATAACAAATGGCTGGGCTGTATAAGAGGCGAGTTGCTTAGATATTTTTATCTACCTACCTCTCAATGTATATATCTCTCTCACGACATATGAAGGGCGTGCTGTGGGACTTTAAAGGCGCCGTTCTTCGATATTCTACCTCGGTGCGGAGATTGTGGGGATTGCGAATGGGGGATGTAGGCTGTCATGACTCAAGTACTATGCATTTTATCACATAAAATGAATGTGTCGTCGAACAGATATTGGAAATTCCTTGCTTTTCTATTTTGAAATTTAATAAACAATAGTTTCACGCGGTTGAAATAGCTATTTGTATGTTAATTTTGGCGGTGTGGCATCATCGAGTTATCTATTATAAGCAATATCGTTGTTTAGGTCTTTCATCTATAAAAATATTAATTGTAGGAGAATCTTTTGATTTTAGTTCGGTTACTTTAAGAAAATTTAAAAGAGGTTAAAGGTTGCTTATTAGCTGCTTGCTTTGAGAACTATTACTGTAACTATTATTGTAGTCGTGGTGCTAATGAGATGTCTTACATAGTAGTGTTCATGTTTGCTAACGGAAGCGTAGCCGGAATTTCTACGCTAATATTTCTTTACAATTCACTCATCACGCCTCTAGTTTGACAGTGAGAAGGATGCCTTATTTTAGGTAGACTTTTACAAATGTTGAGTTCTGAGTACTTTACCTAATTCGAGAATGTTTAGTATCACACTGATAACGCGTCAACCTTCTAAGTTGTTCAACTGTTACAGTACCACGAGCCTTTCCTTAACCTTATAACTTGCGGAATGGATTAGCTTTGCGCTGTGACATCGCTCAGGTACTCACGTAAAGACACATCTACGTCTATTGCTTCGACTGGTTCAGCCAGGAGACTTAATATATAGAGAATATTTGAAACTGGAATTATCTTTCGAATTTTACGAGCTGACTGAATGATAATCGGTTGCCTTAGGCTTTAATAACATGCAACGGTGTAAATTGTAGAAGATATTGCCTCTTTTTGTAGGTGAATTATGTAACTGTATTTGCATATCTGGGGGTCGGAGAAGATCTTAAAAAATCCCCGATAGTCTCATATGTTGGGGAGTTAGCGGCTGTGCGCTGCTACATACGGCATTACAGCTTAGGCAGGTACCTTCCGTAGTAGTGTATCTTAGCAGTTGCTCAGGTGTCTCGGTCGGGTCCACTTCCCATTTCCCGAGCTCGGTTCCTCTATTGCGACCCTCTCAACTCTTCCAACTCTCGCTCTTATCTCTCTCTTAACTTGCTCTGGCGAGTCATCATCCCCGACTTTGTGGTCGGTAGTATTCGAGTTATTCCTTCTTTGTTTCTATCATATCTCACCATTTTTCTATTCATACCATCCATCATATTCTCCTCGTGACCTTGCCGATACGTCGATATCGAATCCTAGCCCTGACATCACACACGCGGCTGGCTAAGAGCAGCATAAGACCAGCATAAGACCGCGCATCCAACCAAGTAAGCCTAACTTGGTGGTGTAAGGGGTGGCGCAGTCAGCTGGCCAACTGACCAACCGACTTACCTACTTTACAGCTCCTTACACGTTGTCTTGGGGGAGCTTTCGTGGGGTTTGTACCTAGTTTAATGTACCAGCCTATCTCCAACTTCCGTCTTTTCCCTTCGTCAACATTGCCAACGTAGTCGAGAGAGTATCCACTATCACCGATTACCTTGAGCCTCACTGGCAATGTTCATCATGTCGCCGCCGAGTCTTCGGCTTGCGGCCCTTGGTGCGCTCTCCTTATCATGTCTTGTTGCCGGTCAAAAGAACTACACCCAGCTCGACTCGATGCGGGCGCAGCTGGCTCTCTTCGGCGACCGACCGGCTGATTGTCCTCCGTGGTATGTCAACCTAACTATTTGGTTTATATCGTTCGCAAGTTGACCCATTTTCCCGTCCAGTTTTAACTGTCTTCTCCCGGCCTACGAGTGCGGCCAGTACGCCGAATGTAACGAATACAACGGGAAATGCGAATGTCCGGCAGGATTTGGAGGTGACGATTGCCTTCAACCTAGTATGATTCTCCATTATAGCTCCTGTTTAGCTCAAGTTTGACTGACCATATTATAGCTTGCGGTTCGCTCGCCCGTGGCAAGGATCGGCCGATAAGATCAGGCGATACCTGCGAATGCGACGAAGGCTGGACTGGAATCAACTGCAATGTCTGTACCCAAAATAACGCCTGCGATGCTCTTATGGAAACTGGGGATGGCGGTGTCTGTTACCAGAACGGCGAGGTCGTACAGGAGAATCACCAGATGTGCAGTGTTACGAACGAGAAGATCCTTACTATGCTCGAGGGCAAGATACCTCAGGCCACCTTTACTTGCGAGAGGGAGTCGGGGGTATGTGATTTCCAATGTAAGTGAAAACTCGGTTTGCGAAGAGGCGGGAAGCTACGTGACTGACCATATCGATTGATTTAGTCTGGATTGATCGACTCGAATCCTTCTATTGTCACTTGGAGAACTGCGAGTCTACCGCAGATTTCACCTCGGACCAGAACAGCAGTTACTACAAGTGTCCCGATGTTAAGTGTGGTTGTATTAAGGATCGCATGCTCTGCGGTGCCGAGGGTTCTATCGACTTGACCGAATTCCTCAAAGTTGAAGTCCATGGCCCTGCTACTTTCAACTGCTTGCAAGAAAATGGTGGTATTAATAACTGTAAATTTAAAGAACCAGCCTTGGATTGGATGGTAGAGAACTTCTTCGGCGACAAGAGCATCGAGTTGGAATGTCGTTCTGGCGAGTGTCTCTACCACACGCAGGTTCCTGGATACGAGCGCCCTATCAAGAAGATCAACACACCATTGATCGCGGGCGTGATTGCGGGATGCTCTTTGTTCCTTGTTGCCGTCGTCTTGCTCATTTGGTACTTGTCTCGCCGACAGTACCGATACGGACCTATCCAACTTGACGATTCCGATGACGAATCCACGAAGCTGATGGTCGATCACAAGCCGGCAACCCTATACTTCGAAAATGTCTCTTACGAGCTGAACGGGAAGACTATCCTCAAAGATATAAAGGGAATTGCACATCCTGGGGAGATCACGGCCATTATGGGTGCTTCAGGCGCCGGGAAGACTACGTTCTTGGATATACTAGCTCGCAAGAATAAACGCGGCCGGACATCAGGGGACTTCTACGTGAACGGAGAAAAGGTCACAGATGCCGAGTACAAGAGTGTGGTGGGTTTCGTCGACCAGGAAGATACTATGCTTCCGACTCTGACTGTCCACGAAACGATTCTTACTAGTGCCCTGCTTCGCCTTCCGCGTGGAATGGGTCGTTCTGCTAAGGAGCAAAGGGTCTATGAGGTTGAAAAACAGCTTGGTATCTATCACATCCGTGATTCCCTAATTGGATCCGAAGAGGGCAAGGGTAGAGGCATTTCCGGTGGCGAAAAGAGACGTGTCAGCATCGCTTGCGAACTTGTTACCAGCCCCTCGATTCTCTTCCTTGACGAGCCGACCAGTGGTTTGGATGCTTACAATGCATTCAATGTCATCGAGTGTCTCGTGACACTGGCGAAAACGTATAACCGAACTGTTATCTTCACTATTCACCAGCCTCGCTCGAACATCGTCGCCTTGTTTGATCGGTTAATTCTTCTTGCCCAGGGCAAGACCGTCTACTCTGGCCCCTTCTCTCAGTGCCAAGAATATTTCGACCAAATTGGATATAGCTGCCCCCCCGGCTTTAACATTGCAGATTATCTTGTTGACCTTACAATGCATGCCAGCTCTTCTGGTACCTTTGACGATGGGTCTTTAGCGAACGACGTTGCGAGCGTTGGCCCTAGCAGCACAACAGCAGTCAAGTCTATCTCAAGCATCTCTAGAGGTACTAGCATCGCTGAAGACAGCTCGATCGAACCATCCTCAAGCCGGCCTAAAGGTAAACGAAAGGATTCCGTTAGAGCAAGGCAAGAGCGTGAGTTATTCACAAGGAGGAAGAACACTGTCGATACAGCCGCATCATCTGACGTGGAAGAGGAGATTGGATCGTATAAGCTACAACGACAACCCGCCGGCACTGTTCCACAAATTGTTGTCGAAGATGTTCATGATCTTCCACCGTCTGCCGAAACTAACCTTGATGGCCTTGTTAATGCCTATGCTGCGTCTGACATCTCTAAGAGCATATCTGAAGAAATCCAACAGGCTGTGAGCAGCGCTCAACATGCCAACGGCCAGAATGGCAATGGAAGGGATGGCACACATTCAAATGGAAGCGCAATTGGTCGTGGTTATGCTCGTGTCGGCTATTTGACCCAATTCATCATCCTCTCCCAAAGGACGTGGAGAAATCTCTATCGCAACCCGCTCCTCATGCTAACTCATTACGCCATTGCGATAGTACTTGCTGTTTTGTCCGGATATCTATTCTATGGCCTAACTGATGATATCCCTGGATTCCAAAACAGACTCGGCTTGTTCTTTTTCCTCTTAGCGTTATTTGGTTTTAGCACCCTGACCAGCTTAAACGTCTTTGCATCTGAAAGGCTTCTGTTTGTCCGCGAGAGAGCCAATGGTTACTATGCACCTATCACGTATTTCCTTGCGAAGGTCCTATTCGACATCATACCTCTTCGGATTATTCCGCCAATTCTGATGGGAGCCATTATATACCCCATGACGGGACTCGTACCAGATACGGCGCACTTTTTCATATTTATGCTCGTTCTTGTACTATTCAACTTAGCCGCCGCCTCGATTTGCCTGTTCATCGGCGTGGTTTGTAAAGACGGTAGCGTTGCGAACCTGATCGGTAGCTTGGTTATGCTCTTCTCATTATTGTTTGCCGGACTACTCCTAAACCATGACGCAATTCCTGACGCGGCAGTCTGGTTGCAATCTCTGTCCATCTTCCACTACGGCTTTGAAGCCCTCATTGTTAATGAGGTCCTCAAGTTGACCCTGGTGGATAGAAAATATGGCCTCGACATCACGGTCCCTGGTGCGGCAATCCTGAGCTCGTTCGGGTTCAATAATGGATCAAAGTGGATGGACATCGCCAACTTGGGCGTGTTTGCCGGCGTCTTTGTGGTATTGGCATACGTCGCGATGCATTTCTTGCTCGTGGAGAAGCGGTAGAGTAGATGCCGCGAAGAAAATTTCGGAAATATATGTAAAATTATGTTGGTATCTGTCAAGGCATTGGCCAAATTGGCATCTGATGCATTGTCTCAATATTTCCTGCATAGCTCGGCAATGCTTGGGCTGGATAGCTCAAGGGCATAAGGGTCATTTGGGGCGTTCAAGGTTTAGGCACATACGACAGTGTAGATCATAAATGTCGTTTTATACAAGCATGGTACAACCTTTGTGAAGATGGCAAACTTATACCGATGACCGTAACTGGCATCGATGCCTAAGTATGCTGTGGCTGTCGTCCAAAGAGGAATGGTGCGATCTAATAGATTTATATATTTACAATTCTTGCCTTTGCTTCCAAGTCGTCGCTAGACTTCGTCCAGCTTACCACCAGTCAACTCCTCGGCAACCTCCTTCTGCCTCTTGAGGGTTCGGGTCTTCTCCGTCTCTAGGTTCTTCACAATTAAGCTTGTATTCCGCGACACATCGTTCAGCATATTGGCAACGGTCTGGGGTTTGCCTTCCAGGTCCCAGATATTGTTCACCTCGTAACCGCCAGCCGACAGACCCTGTTTCTTCCAGTAGTCGGGGGCAAACAGGCGCTCGACCTCGGTCTCTAGATCCTTTTCGTCGACGATGAAGGACCGTGCCTTCATGTATAGCTCTTGAATGGCGTCACGGCGGGCCTCGCTTCTCTGCGTGTTCAAGGACTCGGTGCGTTCGCGGGACTCGAGGGCCCGCTCGAAGCGCTCCGGGTCTCGATGTACCTTGGTTTGTAATGTGCCAGCGTTGATCGAGCCACGAGTTAACCGCTCGTCCTCGCGCTCGGGGGCAGTGGCGGCGGCTCGGTGGGCGGCTAGCCTGGCAGTCTGGCGCTCAGTTCGCCGGGTATCGAAGAGCTGCTTTCGAGAGTACAGGCCGCGAACACCCTCGCGCATGTTCTCTCGGCGGGAGGCGGCTATTTTGCGCTTCCATGCCTGGATTTCGGAGCGGGGAGCCTGTTTAGAGCGCTCGGAGGAGGGTTCGGGCGCAGACCGCGAAAGCCATTCATCTTGGGGCTTAAGATGACCATCACGCTTCTTGAAAACCTGCCGCGGCACTGGCAGATGACCTTTGATAGGCTTGAGCTCGCGCAGGGCTTCGATGGACTGATCTTGCGGTGGGTTCGGCACGTTTATGAAGAGAGGGGACTCTGGAGGGATCTGCTGCGGCGAGGGTCGGCCGGCGGTGGAGGAGAAGAGGGCTCGTGATATGGATCCTCGCGGGAGGAGAGCCGGCCGGGGAAGTAATGGTGGCATATTGGCGGGATGTGCGGTGTGCCAGTAGGCACTTGTTTATTAACACGCAGACTACTCAACTAATTGAGGTCATTAAGCCTGTTATGCGCCCCTCAATATCGCAAATATTGCAAATATCGTAATCGTCCAATTCGTAGTCTTGGGTTGAATTGCTTCGAAAAAGTTACACGCAAAGAAATTCAGTGAGACCCACTTTCGATAGTTCGGGGGGTCTGGACGGTGCGGTGCAGCTTAATCCGTACTGGCAGACGGGGGGTTGGTGGATAAGTCTCGGCAAAATCAAATTTGTACGCCGACTTTTAGCGTGATTAGATTAGATAAGTCCAAAGAAAAAAAAAAAAGGTTCCAATTCCCCCATCAGCCATCTTCTTTTTTTCCAATAGACTTTTTCGCATACCCATTTTCCTTCTCATCGTACCTCTCAAGCTCACGAATTTGGGCGCCATGGGGACTGGTAAGAAGGAAAGAAACCGGCTGGTCCGGCAGGGCAAGTCGGGTTCTGGCATGGAAAACATTAAAGTTAAGGGCGAGAACTTTTATCGTTCTGCGAAGAGAGTCAAAGCCTTGAACATACGGAAGGATGATGGAAAGCCTGTGCGAAATGCCGACGGTAAAATCATCCAAGCTGCCAAATATCAGTCCTGGGAGACACCGTCCGCTCGCGTCGAGCCCAATAGGAAATGGTTTACCAACACCCGAGTCATCTCGCAAGATTCCCTCACGGCATTCCGCGACGCTATGGCTGAGAAGGCAAAGGACCCTTACCAAGTCCTGCTGAAGACGAACAAGCTTCCCATGAGTCTGATCAGGGATAATTCGGATACGAAGAATGGCTTGAAGCAGCATAAGGCCAAGATGACTATCGAGAGCTCGCCGTTTGCCGACGCCTTCGGTCCGAAATCTCAGCGCAAAAGAGTCAAGCTAGGTGTATCCAGTCTAGAAGACTTGGCTGATGACACTGAGAAGAGCATGGACGCCTATAAGGACCATCTCGAGCAGTTGAAGCTATTGAGTGGAAATTCGGGGGTTGATCTCGAAGGACATAGCGAGGGCCAACCCGATAGTGAGGGCGCCCTCACTTTGGCTATCGAACCGATTTTCAGCAAGGGGACCAGTAAGCGCATATGGAATGAGTTATACAAAGTTCTTGAGTATGTTAATGCCTTGTTACTTCTATGAAGTTTTGTTTACAAAAGGCAATTTACTAATATTGAATAGTGCTTCAGATGTTATTATCCATGTACTGGATGCCCGCGACCCTCTGGGAACTCGATGTCGTAGTGTCGAGAAATACCTGAGAGAAGAGGCGCCGCACAAGCATCTCATCTTCGTTTTAAACAAGACTGATTTGATACCTACGAGTGTAGCTGTAAGTAATACTCTTCTATATTTCCGTTATTTATCGTATACCTCTACCCCAATGGTTTTAGTCAGGGTGCTTCCTCTTACTTTCGATGAGAAGTATCCGTTATGTCATTGGGAGATCAAATATCTCAACTTGCTGTTCCTAGCCCTCGGGTTGGGAACTGGCGGAGCCTCGTCTTGAGGTACTGCCATTAGTTAGGCCGTGTTTCATTTTGAGTTGAGATCTATCTACCCATTTAGGGTCGTCAGTGGTAGATTTCTTAGTAGTGATTCATACATATTTTCTTCTTTTTCTCCTTTTCCTAGTTCTGGAGCCATTTATATTTGGACCCTATATTAACATTGTCCAAGGCCGCCTGGGTTCGAAACCTCTCTACCGAGTATCCTACCCTTGCTTTCCACTCGAGCGTGACCAACCCATTTGGCAAAGGTTCACTTATCCAGCTTCTTCGTCAATTTTCGCAATTGCACAAGGATCGAAAGCAGGTATCAGTCGGGTTAATAGGTTATCCCAACGTGGGGAAGTCGTCTATCATCAATACCCTACGTGGAAAGAAGGTTGCCACTGTAGCTCCTATCCCCGGCGAGACCAAAGTCTGGCAATATGTTACTCTGATGAAACGGATATATCTTATAGATTGTCCCGGTGTGGTTCCTCCCAATCAGAACGATACGCCTCAGGATATCCTGCTTCGCGGCGTCGTTCGTGTTGAAATGGTAGAGCAACCCGAACAGTACATTCCTGCATTAATGGCAAAAGTCAAGCAGCATCATATGGAACGAACATACGAAATTAAGGGGTGGAATGACCATATTCACTTCTTGGAACTGCTTGCCCGAAAGGGCGGCCGTCTATTGAAGGGCGGGGAGCCGGATGTCGATGGAGTTGCCAAAATGGTAATAACAGACTTCATGAGGGGCAAGATTCCGTGGTTTACCCCTGCGCCTGTTGTGGAAGGGGATGACGGGAAAGGCCTTGAAGGACGTCGCGGTAGGCTCGGAGAGATGCCGAAGAAACGGAAGAGGGAAGACTTGGAGAGTATCCCGGATACGACCGTGGCTGCATCGGCTACGTCCGTTGGAGAACAGGCGAGTGCGAGTGAGGACGAAGAAGAGTTTGAAGGTTTCAGCAGCGACGATGATGAATCATCAGATGATGAAGCTGCAGCTGGCCGTGAAGATGAAGAAGATGATATGATACCCCTGGATGAGCTGAGCGATATTGACGATAGCGACGGCAGCGAAGACGAAGGATGAATAATAGTTTCTAAGGAGTAGAAACGATCAATATGGCCTGCTCATTCCGTTAGGTCAAGCCATAGCCAGCCTGTTCATGCTTAATATCGTCTACAAGAGAGTGGATTGGCCGGCATGTAGGCGAAACACATACCTACATGCGTGACGTCCGGCTGCAACCAGTTCCGCCGAGTGATGCCGCAGACGGAAGGGATCTCTATCCACCTAGCGGCCGGCCTTACGCGGCTACCTAAGGTTACATAGACCTCGGGCTAGTTTTAATATCTAGATTCCGTCAGACATAGATTTGAAAGATCCCAAATCTTGTCTAACGTGAGAGCCCACTAGCTCCTGTCCAAATGGAACACAAAGTAAATGCATAGTTACCTCGTCAAGGGGTGGGAAACTAAGGCATTGGGCTAGTAGGATAATAGAATCTATGATGGCTGCGTGGATGTACATCGATATATGATGCCTCCCTCGTAGCCTCATAAATACACGCCAATTCCTTGCGCTCTGATTCCGTTTGTGTTGCGACTAAACGTGATGGTGCTTGATATGATTACGAAACTCTTCGCCTACAGACGTACCTAATGAAATAGAATATATTATCCTGGGTGATCATAATGGGGCCAATGAGGTGACGCTTTCTCTGGGAGGGAATGCCCTTCTGAGGATGTTGTTGCCATACTCGTTAGAACCTAGGCGACTTCCATCGTTATTTGATATTCGTGGTTACCTATGATCCCGTTTTGGATGATCACAGGTATGAATGGTATTACGAAGATGTAGGTTAGGAGCGATCTCTGTATACTTTGGATAACTCCTTGCCTAAGATATCACTTTACTCTTGCCTTTTTTAATCTCAATTGTTTCTACCTTTGAGTCCTTTTCTTAACATCATTGTCGCAGTCTTGCTTCTAATCCGAGTTGCTCGCCTTGAGTTTGTTCAGCATTCCCAATCTACCTTGGTAACCTTTTTGGCCTGGTTTTGGGAAGCTCTCTTTATAGGACACCTAACTTTTGGTTTCATCCGAAGTTCCTCAAGGAATCTCAAGGGGTTCTAGGCTTTTGCTACCAAGATGCTGCTACCGAATATATTCATGGCGTTTCTAGCCTCGCTTGCCCCTGTGCAGAGCACATCCGTGGCCCCCCTAAAGATAAACGCTGGGTGTGCCTTTCATTTAACAGTAGGGAGCGGCCATAATGGATTTCTCGGCCAATTGACGGATGGCCAGGTACGAGTTGGGAGCGACTTGGCGCCATCACTCTTTACTTGGTTTGGTGATGCCTTCACGGATCATCAAGGGAGAGGCTGTTGGTGGACTCGTATGATCTACCAGTTTATCCAACTCCTCCTTTGCTAAGGATTTAACTAATTCAATACGTTGTATTTCTAGCTCCTACGTTGATACTTCAATGCGACTCGGATCAACAACTAGGCCATGGGTTTGTCATTGGGTGTTACGGCGGTGTGTCGTACGAACACCAATCTTTGTTTTATGAGTGTCAAACAGGCGATGGGGACGAGGTAAACATATACCTGGAACCTAATGGAGCTGATTGTTCCAACATTACTCTCCATGCCGATAGCTGTCGGCCTCCGTGTGCCAGTGCGAGCACTTCGTCGAGGCCGTTTACTAGTACAACTGGCACAAGTACGACAGCTTTGACCTCTCCTACAACTTCCCTTCATACCTCAACAAGCCACACAACACAAATTTCTTCGCATGATGAAACCACTACGGCCTCATTGGCGGCCTCGACAGGTACACCTACGGTAGCCCCTGGCAACTGTAAAACACCCATTTTCGAGCGTCCCGATGAGGTCGTTCTAGTCGATAAGAGCAAACCGGATACCAGTAACGGCTTAAATCCTAACATGGTAGTTTTGCTGACGCCAGACGTATCCGCCATCTTCGTCTTCGATTTTGATTCTTCGGACTTAAATAAACAGTGTGCTCTCATCTTCGACTTACCTTCTGCCCAAGAACAACAACCTCCCCTCTATACGCTGAATGGAACCGGACTAGTGAGGTTCGCGCTGCTCGAGGAACCACCAGCCGATATGGGGAACACAACCTATAATAACGCACCGCCTGTTGCAATGCCGCTAGAGTCGGTAAACCTAGAACCAGGCATGAGCGCCCAGCCGCTCGAGTTTCCATGTCCTGGAGAGGATGGCCATATTGTCGTTGAGATGCGCGATAAGCCAGGCTCAGACGTGTGTTTGCACTACCAACAGAACAGATCTGAGGTACTAATCGGGTTGTATCTTTTGAAATGCTGAAGCGTACATATGTTAACGGGTATCGGCGCCTTGCGTTATGCTGGAAAGAAACCCGGATGCTTTCATACAGTGCAAGGGGAAAAGCGGATTACGGGTAAGGGAGTAAGGGGGAAATAATATAAGGCTTCCGGCCCTTATATGATTTATTCAAATCATTTTATGGGTGGCTTCAATGCATCGAAGGATGGCGCTGCCCCTTTTTTTGGTACAATGTGGTTTGAATCTTTATCCACTGGGCTACATGGAGGAGTGTGGGATGGTGGGTGATTGACAAGGCTCGAAACCTAGGTATAGTTGAAATAATAAAGCCAGCTTCTAACTATGCAATCATAAAGGTCTTAGGAGACTATTGACAATTTACTTCCCAAGTATTACATGGGACAATGTACCTATATGTGTTGGATGAATATATTAACATACTACACTTATATGATAGGCTAACAATTTTCATAGCCTTTATTTGGTATGGTCAGAATGCTATTATCAGTCATAGTCCAGCTTGGACTCCGATATAAGGGGGAATGTTGGCAATATAAGCCTGACTAAATCCAAACAGATGCCAGCAGCATCTTTTATTCACGATTTCTTAGCTTCGGGATTGCCCAAAACACCACCCTCCAAATTTCCTTCTCCATCCTTCTCTTGGACCAGATGCTGCGCAGTGACATGTTCTTGTGTCATTGAGTAGCCCTTCACCGTCAAGCTCAATAGCAATCCCGCAGCCGAGAATGCTATAAGTGACAGCCATATCGAACTTAAGGCATCTGAGAATGCCTGAATCATTCGCGCCTTAGTATCTCCATCCGCCATGTCGTGGATAAGAGCGACTATCGCGGTAGCATCGCGCGAGTACTCGTCTGCCAGGGACGCGAATCCCGGTATTCTAAAAAGTTTTTGCTTCAACGAATTCTGGAAGATGACTCCCGAGACAGCGACACCTAAGGCCTGGCCGAAGATGCGGATGAATGAGAAGAAACCTGCAGCTTCACCGTTGAGTTCGGGTCTGCAAGGTGTTAGCATAAATCATAAACTGAAAATATCTCCCGAGAGATTTAACGGGATGGCCATTACATACTTCGTAGCAGCTTGAATAGCCAGGAGTTCAGCCGTGAAGAGCATACCAACCCCAATACCGAATGGGATATTCAAGAATACCCATTGGGTAACAGTAGTTCCTGTGCCTAGGAGGTATAAAAGCCCGGAACCGGCGGTTGTCAAAACCCACCCTCCCCAGAGGGCCCATCGATATTTTTTGGTCATGCCCGTCAGGGCTCCTACGGCGACGCTCGAGAGGGATAGGCCAATTGTTTCTGGGAGTAGAGCGATAGCCGAAGTCACTGGCGAGTACAGCTTTACGGCTTGGTAGAACAGGGCTATGAGAAATGATTAGCTTCGACGTTCAGTGGTGTGTTTCGGGTCATATTAGAAATGGTCTTACTGAGGAAGTATATTGCCGCGTATAAGATAAGACCGTGTAGCATGGTCTGGATATAAGCTGAGATTGCCGTCCAAGTTGCGAAAATGCGTCTGTCTACGATAGGGTCTGTCGCAAAACAGAACTCCCAGTAAACGAAGCAGAGCATTCCCAAGAACCCGATAATAAGTGGCAAAAGAGCTTGGTAAGATGACCTATAGCTTGTTAGTACCGTAGGATTTGAGCTACGGATATCTTAACGTATACATACCATGGGAACGCAACACCTCCGGTGGTAATACCGAATAGAAAGCAGGCAGAGCTAACGGAAAACAGTACAGAGCCAAGCCAGTCGAACTTCTTGAGCTTCTCAACGATATGTCCCGGTACCTGAGCTTGCTTTAAGAACAATGTAACTAAGAGCATGCCAACGCCAACAATAGGCAAATTGATCCAGAATATCCATCGCCAAGTCTTTCGAAAATCAGCTTTGTCAACAAATTACTGCAACTGTGATACTTACGATGTCCTGGGCAAATCCAGCTCCGATCAGGGGCCCGGTGGCAGTTCCGATACCCCACATGGCCGAGTTGATGCTGAACCAAGTACCTCGATGTGCAAGAGGCACGAGATCGGATATGAGGATCTTGCTAAAGTGTCAGTCTTGGGTACTCTGGTTGTTGTGCTGCGCGAGAAGGGGCAGCTTTACCTCCAGAAGCACGATGAGCCCTCCACCTAACGAAACGACAAGTATGAGTTGAGTTCTAATCACTAAAGTTGTCTAATGACTTACCCCCCGCTCCCTAATTCTGTTAGAATATATTTATGATAACTATATGATATCTTCGGTAGTCTTATACTCACCTGGAGAGTCCGTCCAATAAGCACGACGTTGAAATTTCCCGCAAGTGCAGCAATAAGCGAGCCGCCTACGAACCCAGCACTGCTAACGTACAGCATCTAAATGGTTTATCTTAGCAGTAATTATCATTTTGAGAAAATTATCACGAGACTTACTATTCTTCGACCTAGTATATGCGACATTGACGCGACCGTTGGCTGGATCACCGTCGAGGCCAAAAGAAAACTTGTCCCAGACCAGAATGCCTGTAGAGCAGTGCCCCCTAGTTCCGCACTCATGATAGGGAGCGCGGTGGGTAAACTGGTTGATTCAATTGCTACTGCTGATACTATCGTCAACAGCGACATGAAAGCCAGGAGAAACCGTTTGGTGGGTTTCCACCCATCGTTACCCGAGTCAATAGAGGTTTCGTCGTTTAGTATTGCCGCAACGCTGGGAACTACCGCGGATGCCTCTACAGGCGGTGGGCTTGGCGTTATCTCCATTGTGGTCGTCGTGTTGGTAAGGAAAGTGACGACAACGAAAATAGATGATTTTCATTGTTGTGACTCGAGAAGTAGTTGGGTACGTGCTGCTGACTTGCGTTCAATACATCTTCGTTTCCCCCCCTGTCCCCCCCGGCGGTCTCCAACGGTGCTATCGGCAACGAATCGCAATCCAAACCGACCGTAGCTTGCTTGATTAGGAAGGTGGATAGAGAAGTCTCAAGTGCAGGGGATTACGGTGAATAGCTTCAGAAGTAATTACTTTTAGATAGGGAAGGCCTTGACGGGGAGGTGTATCATAGGAGGTAGTTAATATTAAGATTTATTTTTATTTTTATACACTATGAAATATCGTTAAGCTGCTCGTAGCTTAAACGGAAAAGACAACTCTCCAGTAACCACTCCCATGGTGTTCTTAATCTCCCCGCGATGGAAGTTGTCAAAGCGTTGACGTGCTTCAGTCGGTCCAATCTTTAACTGCTCGAGAATCTCCGCCGCAACCGCTTCCATAATAGCGTAATTGCCATCTTCTATCTTAAGCGCAATACCAATACTGCCATTAGCACCAAGTCGCCGTGTATCCTCTGACTCGCGGATACCGATGGAGTAACAACCGTCTCCGCCTCCTTTTCCGATGAGTGCGCCCTTATACGCATCGATCAGGACAGTGCAGAAGCGGCCGTATCCAGCAATATTCTCCGGAAACCGTACCATTGCATTGTAAATTCGGGCCATTGCTTGTGTTCGGGGGGATACCGGGCTGCTCGCTTTTGCTATATCATCTGCTGCTTGAGCAATAGCACCGTACATGACGGCTATGGAATGCAGTGGTGCCGCCGGGGAGTATATATTACAGCCATCCAAGGCCAATTTAACCTCGCCGGGATTAAGGCCTGTCAAGTCTTCTATAATAGATTTGATCCTAGCTTGAATTGGATGATCCGAAGTATGGTAGTCAACAGCACTACTGCCGATGCCCTTTGCACCAACCATAATACCGATATGGTTGCCAGAACAGGCGTGACAAGCTTGAGTAGGCGTAAATCCATTCTCGATCCAGGCCCTGTTAACGACAGGTGATATAGCTGGGTGGCTACCGCATCGAAGATCGCTCTCTTTAATATTCGACTTCGCCAGCATAGCCTTTGCCCGCTCTACCTGTCTCTCCTCGCTGCTATGAGTGCCGCACATAAGCGCCAGGTCGGCTTCTTCAAAGCCAAATTGGTCCAACGCGCCGGACTCTACTGCAGGTATAGCCTGGATGGGTTTAGCCCCCGAACGGAGGAGAGTTAGTCGTGAAGGGTTGCCTAAGGTGTAGAGGAGCTTGCCGGTAGCATCAACGACGGCGGCGTTGACTAAATGTCTGTTCTCTAAGATCCCGCCGCGGGTGCTGACGACAAAGTCGCCGTTGAGAGGGGTATTCTCCATATCGTTCTATGTGAATTGAGTTAGACGTGCGTAGCAATGAAAATATTGAAGTTTTAAACTGCAATTATTACGAGATAGGACTATTATCGAGACTTATAGGTCATTATATTTGTATGTAATTGTTATAGTTCTTATATTATCACTGTCTATCGAATCCCGCGCCCTTCGCGTCTATCGAGTCTTGCGCCCTTCAAGCGCTGTGCCGTAATTAAAGAAACGCACAAGGCTAAGGGACATCTTCAAACCAATAGAAATATCACACGAGGTTAAAAGTTTACTGGAAATGGCTGACGATTCCTTTATTCATGCGCAGCGGCTAAAGGGCGCGAGTGTCATAGCCTTACGCAGGCATTGAAATCCGACAGCGAATTCTCGATGCAAACAGGCTGTCTTTAATATTAATATCTTATCTTGGAGTTCCTCTATCTCTCAATATTTCATGTTCTAAAATTACGCAACTACTTTTTCTAGAACCCCTCTTCCAGGACATTGCATTTGCATTTGCGTGATCATGGCTTGTTATGAAGGTGTTTGGGAACATAAGCTTGGAAAAACTTATGGGGGGTAATCATAAGCATCAGCAATGTATTTGGGAGGTATTGATTAACTTATCCCCACTGAAATTTGGCTGAAAGGCAGTTCCACAGTACTTTCTCGTGCATCCAATAGACTTCGAAAGATTCGCTGATGATTTTCTAAAATTCAAAAGCACCTTCAGAGGTGCTTATCGACTCGCTTATACTTATTTTACAGCGCATTAGCCACTAAATGCCCTGTAATTACAGTGCATGTAATAAGTAAACCACAGCACTTTTAATAAAGCCTAAAAATAATATTTCAGCGAGTATATACGCTGTAACTATAGCGTATCTAGCGAATACGTTATAGCGCATTTAGTGGATTTAGGTGTATAGCGACGGCGAGGTTGGGAATAGCCTCAATAGCCTCAACGCATAAGCTAAAGCCATAAGCACAAGGCCACAAACAAGGAAAGGCTTATGTTGGGTGCTGATTCGTTTAAATTATAGTGGAGATAGCCCCACAATCGAGATATAATTCAGCCAGCTTATGCTTCAGGGTTGGCACGAGCCATAAGCAAAACACCGCTTATGGTCCCAAACAGCCTCTATGGCAGAACAGCGTCAAAATAGATGACCCATCCCACCCAAGCAA